TGTATAAAATCAGTGATATTTGCAATGCGAGAAAATTATTACTGAATTTGCTTCCAATGAAGTATATCTATCAGCTGTGCCCGATGGGTTATTTATATATTGTCCTTTCTGTAGACAGGTTATAAATTACGATTTTTTCCGTTTTTTTTCTGTTTTGAAAAACTTTTACACGTCACAGAAAAAATATGAATAGACACCACACATCAATCATTTTCGTAGTGCCTCACATTTAGGTGGTGATTTGTATTTTCTAATGACATCACAAAATAAATTTCTGTAAAACATAAATGTCTGGAAATAAATATCATCAATATCATATATATTCTTGTCTGCAGCATATCTTCTCATCTGTTACTTCCCAACCAGGGATTTTCTTTTCTTATCTCTCACAAGAAAAAAAATGGTTCGCCAATGGTTTTTTGCCAAATAAAAATTATTTTTGAATTTCCCGTTCAATCTAAAACAAATGATCTCTCTTGAATTGTTTTCCTTTGATACGCCATTTTTGAGTAAAAAAATAAAAACCGTTCTATTGTCTAACTTGCAAAATTATTATTTAATTGGAAAAAATAAACACATTAGGGGTAATGAACAACAACAGATAACAACATAAACATAACATTAAAACCTACGAAATGATTACAAAAATTGTTGAAAATGGCCCCCATCACTTAGCATGCATACTTCCGCCCTCCTCATAGAATTGCGCACTCGTTGAAATATCCCTGGAATGTTTTTTATTCTATCACAAGCTGCAACTATTCTTTCTCTTAATTCGTCTACAGTGTTAATGGGACTTATGTACACCTTGTGTCTTAAGATAGCCCCACAAAAAGAAATCAAGTCTGTTGAGGTCTGCGGACCTTGGTGGCCATTCTTGGGGCCTACCGCGGCCAATCCAACAGATTTGAGTAACAGAGACTTGTCAGATGTCAAAATCCAGTGACATATTCCAGATGAACTAGATATTTATTGCTAAATTGCATTCTTCAATTATTACATTAATTTTCTCGGACAATAGAGCGGTTTTTATTTTTTACTCAAAAATAGAGCATCGAAAGAAAGCAAGTCAGGAGAGGTCATTTGTTTTAAATTGAACGGGGAATTCAAAAATGATTTTTATTTGGCAAAGAACCATTGGCGTACCATTTTTTTCTTAAAAAATATCGAAGTCAATACCCGTACGCACGGCACTGTTAAGGCTAAAAATTATTTATGCATTGAAAAATATGCAGCTCAATTAACTTTCACTACGTACTAAATATCAGTGAAATATGAAACATTTTTGGACCATAGTTTATAGAGAAAACTAACATTAGTTTTTCATATAGATTCACACCCTTAAATATTCGCATATCATCAAGGAACACCCTGTATAATGACAAGCAAACATGTCACTTTTCAAGATACATATACAGTCGAGCTCTCGATGCGTTCGCGACAGGGTCGAACTGTGTTTTGAGCGCTAGTAGCATGGTTGGAATGTGCAATGTTCATCGTTCAGGTGCTCGATTAGATTATGAATCAAACAGAGTCTGTATGTGAATGACTGAGTCCAAACAAGAGCCTTAAAAATAACTTCAGCGAAGAAGCTACGATGTCCTCTATTCTTACAGTTCGGAAATTACTGCTCCATTCTTAATACAATTCTGATACAAAAGTACTGATATGTGAATGATAGAACACCTTGAATGCTTTTACCAATAAAGGTATAGGAACAAGTGAAAATCTGAGTACGTCTACAAACTTAATATTTTGAATGTTTCCGGAGTGCTGATTATTTTTCTACGTAGTATTAAAGTTCATGGGGTCAACACTTAAAAAATGCAAAAATTTGTTATTTGAAATTTTTCTACTTCTTGAACAAGATATCTTAGAATGTCAAAAAACTTAATATTTTGAATGTTTCCGGAGCGCTGATTATTTTTTGACGTAGTATTAAAGTTCATGGGGTAAACATCTAAAAAATGCGAAAATTTGTCATTTGAAGTTTTTCTAGTTTTGGTTATTTCGGATGATAGTAGAAATATAGGTTGTTCATAAATTCCGGAACCAGGGGCATATTCTCGAATGTGATTACGAAAGATAGCTGAAACCAGTTCCTGAGAGCTGAATAGTACAGATATTTTTAGTTATTGCCCTTTCGTTTACTAATGTTAAGCATAACAAAATGCCTCGAGTTCAAAGCCGTCCAAATTATCACCATATTAGCGACTTTGACAGGGGTAGAATTATTGCTTATCGAGATGTTTGGTTTGTCCTATCACGAAATTGGCCGCCGTGTTAATTGTACTGCATTGACGGTAATGCGTGTGCGTCGTGTGTGGATAGAAGAAGGTAGAGGAACGCGAAGAAGGCCAACTGGTCCACCGAGGCGTACCACAGAGCGGCAAGATAGGCGTTTCAGACAACTAGCGCTACGAGACTGCTTTGTTACTACGCGTCAGATCGCTGACCAATGGTTTGGAGAAGAAGCTGGACCTGTTATTATGCGTACAGTCTACTTCCGCATTCGAGCCTTTGGGCTTTTTTCATACCGTCTACGGTTAGTGCTTTCTCTGAATGCGGACCACTGGCGTCAACGATTGAACTGAAGCAGAGAAAGGCAACATTGGGAGGCAGAATGGCACAATGTCATCTTCAGGGACGAATCGCGATTCTGTCTAGGTACGCACGATGGTCTTAGAAGGGTAAGACGCCGCCGTGAAGAACGACGGGATATTAGATTTGCTATTGAAATGCATGTACACAGGGCTGTTGGAATAATGGTTTGGGAGGCTATTGCCCATGGAAGCCGATTACCTCTTCTCTTTGTTCAAGGCAATATGACTGCTGCGCGTTATGTTGATGATGTCCTACAATCCAATTTACTGCGGTATCTAGAGGACCGTCCACACGTCCTTTTTCAGCAAGACAACGCAAGTCCCAATATTGCTCGTCGTACTACGGACTTTCTTCCAGAAGCAGGAGTTAATGTTTTGCCGTGGCCACCCCGATCACCGGATTTAAATCCCATCAAACATGTGTGGGACACGAGTTGCTTGGAATGAGGTGCCACAACCAGACAGCGATCATCTCATTTTGTCGTTGCCTAGACGTATACAGTAAGTAGTGCATTCAGCTGCGGGGTCGCCCAACATGTTATTGTTTTTGTGTCTTATTACTTGTCAATAAAATTTTGTGAGAATGTTATTGTTTCATTCTTGATATAAGACTACCTCGTTGCCAAAAAATCATGTTGAAGAAATTATTTTTATGGGTGTAACACTTCTAATGTCACTGAATATATTTTATTAAGCCCTCTAGATCTATTATTATATTTCGCAAGAAAAAAACAATATTTGCAACATGTGAAAGACAAAATTAATGCTATGCAACCTATTTATTTTTTCAGTAATTTTTTAATGATTTAATTCTGCCAACTGATGTCGTACAGTATTAGTTTTGCTCCAAATGGAAACGATATTTAGTATGAATTTGACTCTCCATGCCAATTCAAAATTATGAAGAAAATTTATAGAAACTAATATACAGGTTCGGACATTCTCAGCATAATTGCGTTTACATGCTCTCACCACTATCCTACATTAGATTTAGTTAAATAATGCACACATATTTATATCATTTGTTTCTGTTTTCTCTGCTAAACAACATAAAGTCCAGAATATTACTTACAGGACGATGCATTTAATGTAACAGAAACTGAATTCGGCTCTAAAATTTTGAGTTCCCAAGACATTTTTAGATAAATTCGAAGCATTATATTGTGAAATGTTGATAAAATCAAGATTGTAACGTTTGAAATTTTGAGTTTTGTCACACAAAGTGATAAAAACAAGATAATTGAATAAATACTTGGTCAGACATATCAATATCAGAGTTGTTGATTTTGCTAAAATACGAAAAAATTAGAAAAGTCGAATCCATTCCTGGATTCTTTAATCATTGAACTAGTACTAAGTTACTCCTAGGTAACTTTGTTATTTTTCAAAATTTTACCGGGATCGATAGTGCCGAGAAATGTGATATTACAGATTCAATAAATACTACATTTAACTATGTCCACTTAAGTTTTGTATACCTTGTAAATACTAGAACTCAACAGACAGCTTGAGACAAGAATGGGCCCAGAGTCGGTGACCAGTACATAGTGCCAAAGACAAAGATTTTCGCTATAAACTAGCCCACCTTTGTGATTTATAGGAGACCAATTCCCAATGAGCAGCGCCGGTTGTGTAATCTTTGGGGTATTAAACGCTCGAATCGTTATGTATAATCTTGTACCAAAATGGAAGAGAGCAGCGTATAGCATCGTACGCCAGTGTTAAGGTTGTGTACCTTTGATGGATATGTTCTCATTCCTTTTGCTACTAGATTTATTATCAGTTGTCTGAATTTTATTCTACTTGATTTAACAATAAATTTACTACGTGTAAAACAACTAGAGAAAAACCGATCTTTTTTCGTGAGACTGTCCAGCATAGTTTTGTTCACGATTTTTAGTGCACATTGTACAACTACCAGCATTATACTACCTACTACCATCTGCCTCACTCATACACATGCTATCATGATAACTGCCGATGTGTACGAACGTTTGCTGTGTAAGCCCACAGTCATTTCTACAGTTTCTATTCGGGACCGCGAAACTTTTAGCGGCAACGTAAGAGTATTCATTAAGTATTCGCTAAGTATGTTGGAATATTTTCAGAAAGTGAATAAAAGCAGCGGTCCTTTATTCTCTCTCTTCGCGTTAGTCTGTTTACTAATTTTGTATGACATTGATGAGGTTACCGCCAAAAACCGTATAATGTCTTATACCTTCCAAATGATATAACATAAACCTATCGAATCCTTCAAAAATCCAGGAGTCGCTTCAGTGTGGAAAGAAGTTATTACCTGTCAATGTTTCCTGAACGCACAGAATAATAGAATTAGAAAAGATATTTTGAAAATTGTCGCAGGAGTCACTTTGAGGATTATATAAATAAAGCGTATAATTTAAATGTAAATAATGTATTCGATCAAATAGTACAAAAAAATCACACATAGACTTTAAAAAGTGACGTTAATACGAAACTTTGAAGTAAGACAATAAAATACAGCATATAAAAGGAAATAAGCTAACATATTGCATATTTAAATAATATAATATTTTTTTTTACATCATTATTTAATTAGAAATAATATAAGGCTTTGTTAAGAATTAAAATCACTGACACGTAGATAAAACAGGAAACTGGAAAGCAGGCAAACTCCAGTCAGTATCCTTTCAGACTTTCTTAGTCTTAGTCGACTTCTGTGAAGAAAAAGAAGATCTTACATCATCGGAATGAATCACCCAATAGAATATAATGCTTATGTGCCAAATTATTTTGTAGCTATATGCTCCCAGGAACTCTTGCATTGCTATGACTATCCTACATCAAGCAGGCTTTGAAGAGGTATACTACCTATTGTACTGGCTCTCTGAGAAAAACTGGTCAAATAACAATTAAACAGTTGTTCTGAAAAATTTTCATTACCCGTAATAAATTTTATAATTGCTCTAAGTAACTAAAATGGTGGGAGAACAAATGATATCTGTGAAGGGCTGTTTTGTGGAATAAAAGAACTCTCGCCACTCATTACCAAAAAAACGGGTGCGCTATGAAGAATGTTCACTTCTCAAACTGCCAAGGGGGCATATGCCCTCATTAATGAGCACTCATGTTTAGGAACATTAAAATTCGTTATGATTTTCCTTTTTTTGTCATGGACTTAACAGGTCTATCTATTTTATATATATATATATAGAGAAAATGATCATGCGGAGAAAGGTATATAACAAAAAGAAGGAAAATAATGGGCAAAATCCGCAAAAAGGAGGAAAGTGGATTCAAGCAGAAAATAGGATAGGTAACCCGAGCGATACGTATTTCTGCTGGTTGGCTTCATCAGGCCCGAAATGAATGCACATATGCAACTACAAAAGTAGATACGCATGCTTATACATCCGGATACGGGTGTAACCTGAGGAAACAAAGATGGAGAGGGAGAAAAAAAATCACACACGATATAACCGGCCGCGTGGTTGAGGTTAGATGTCGCCTTGAAAATTCTAGGTCTTCTAACCATTTTGTACTACAATGTGTAGGTTGGCTCTTGTTGTGGACTTCGTGTGTGATTTTTTTTCCCTCTCCATCTTTGTTTCCTCAGGTTACACCCGTATCCGGATGTATGAGCATGCGTATCTACTTTTGTAGTTGCATATGTGCATTCATTTCGGGCCTGATGAAGCCAACCAGCAGAAATACGTATCGCTCGGGTTACCTATCCTATTTTCTGCTTGAATCCACTTTCCTCCTTTTTGCGGATTTTGCCCATTATTTTCCTTCTTTTTGTTATATATATATATATATATATATATATATATATATACAGGGTTATCCAAATTAAGTGTCCACCATTAGTAACTTTGTTATTAGTGAAAATACAAAGTTGTTTGAATTAGCAAACTAGTAGCATTTCTAACGCTGGTAAAAATGAGAAATAAAAAAAAACAATTGAGAGTCGTTATTTTGATTTTTTTCAGTAAAATAACATTTTTTTAAATGGAAACCCCTGTATATTATATTTTTTTCTGTTAAAGCATCAAATTTTAAACAAAAAAGTTCATAATGACTTTTCCGCTAAAGTCAAAAATAAAGTCAAAATAACGATAAATATTTTTAATTATTTGCAGTATTATAATATTAAGACGGCTATGAAAACAACATGGCGTTCGCGATTTGACAGCATTAAGATAAGCGACAAATTGTTAAACTGGACATACTCGCAACTAGAAGGCTTTGGAAAACAATGATAAAATCAAATAATGTCAAACATTAGTGTAAATACTTGTTTATAAGCTTTATTGTGTCATTAATTTAAAGAAAAATGTTCTCCCATGAAGAAAAGTGTGATATGTTAGAATGCTATTTAGTGTGCAGAAAATCCTCCTTGAGAGCAAGAGAATACTACAGTGAATTATATCCCGCTCGCATTCAACCGTATGAACGATATTTTCTGAGACTTTATCGAAAATTTAGGGGCTACGAAAATGTTTTTGCTAAAACAAGGGCAAAAAAAGAATTCATAATAAGCGAGGCCACGGAAATTGCAGTTATTGGATATTTTGAAGCTTATCGTGAGAATTCAATAGCAGATATTCTCAAGGACTCTAATTTCAGTTATGGTACTGTTCAAAGGATTTTAAAAAAATACAAATTTATTCCGTATAAGTACCGACCAGTTCAAACGCTTTTGGCAGGGGATCCAGAGAGAAGACTTGTTTTTTGCCATTGGTATCTTAGCTTCTGTCGCCAAAATGTAAATAACTTTCGTTACCTTTTATGGACAGATGAATCAAATTTTTCAAATTCTGGAATGTTTAATAGAAAAAAACCACCATTATTGGTCAAGAGAAAATCTTTTGTTAGTACATCCAAGAGGCCCACAAGTCCGTTTCAGTTTCAACGTTTGGTGCGGTATAATTGGTTCAAAAATTGTTGGCCCGTTCTTTTATGAGGGAACCCTAACTGGTGAAAGATATGTGGAATTTATGTCAGAAATTCTGACTAATTTCTTAGACGAATTGGATCTTATAAGTAGACATCATCTGCATTTTCAGCAAGATGGCGCACCTGCCCACAACTCCAGAGGTACTTATCATTTTCTAAGTACTACTTTTAATGATCAGTGGATAGGAACAAATGGCCCAATACAGTGGCCTCCCAGATCACCAGATCTAAACCCACTTGATTACTTCTTGTGGGGTTACTTAAAGAACCAAATTTACAAGCGAAGGTACGATAACCTTGACGCGTTAAAGACTGCAGTTAGGGAAAAGATAACCCAGATAGATGGTAGGACCATACTTAAGACAGTTCGAGCAGTTGAAAAACGTGCCCAAAAATGTATTGAAGAACAAGGTGGTGTTTTCGAGCATCTTCTTTAAAAAAAATTGTTATTATATTTTGTAAGATTATAAGTTGATGTTGAAAATAAAGTTTGTCGATACAATTTAATTGTTTCAGATTGGAGGCCATAACTTCAACAATTTGTAACCTAGGAGAAAAGTTATTGTAAGCTTTTTTGTTTAAAATTTGATGCTTCAACAGAAAAAAATATAATATACAGGGGTTTCCATTTAAAAAAATGTTATTTTACTGAAAAAAATCAAAATAACGACTCTCAATTGTTTTTTTTTATTTCTCATTTTTACCAGCGTTAAAAATGCTACTAGTTTGCTAATTCAAACAACTTTGTATTTTCACTAATAACAAAGTTACTAATGGTGGACACTTAATTTGGATAACCCTGTATACAGGGTGGCTCATCCATGTGTGGTCGGAATATTACTCATAAACAAATACATTTTGGGAAAATACATTTATGGGATGTTATACATGTCATTTGAGAGCACATTTCTAAAATATTGTCCATTATACAGGGTGTCCCAATTTCGACCTACATATCAAAGTTGTGATTTTTCAAATGGAATGCCTCAAATTTTATTGCACATTTGGATAAACCAATTCAAAAGAAGAAAATTGATATACCATACTTTGGGGTTTTGGTAATTAGCTACTGTGATATAAGGTGCTTTGTGTAGAAATACCCCCCAACTAAGATAAAAGCTGAGGTGTGTAAGTTTTTTTTGATACAAAATTCGGCACTCCAAATTTCAAAATGGCGGATTGAGAGGTTGCCGGTTTTTCTGGACAAAACACCTTACATCTCAGTAGCTAATTACCAAAACCACATAGTATGTTATGTCAATCTTCTTCTCTTGAATTGGTTTATCCAAATAAGCAATAGAATTTGAGGCATTCCATTCAAGAAATCACAACTTTGATATGTAGGTCAAAATTGGAATACCCTGCCAATATTTTAGCAATGTGCCCTCAAATGTCTCATGTATATCATGCCATTAATAGATTTTCTCAAAATGTATTTGTTTATGAGTAATATTCCTTCCACTTCTGGATGGGCCACCCTGTATGTATATATATATATATATAATTGATTCCTTATTTCCCATGGTCACGCCATAACTTGAGAAGGACCTTACCGATTCCATTCATTTTTTTTTACCTTATACTACATAGAAAGTTCTTACGAAAAGAAAAATCAAGAAAATTGCGCAAAAAATTGGGAAATCATTGAAAACCTGATGATTATTTGAGTTACGCGCGCTTGACTTTTAGTTTGAGCATGGAGCACGGACAGCAGAAGAAATATCTCAAGTACAAAAAAAGAGACAGGCTCTCCGCTGCGCCATCTTTATTCCAACAGCTATAGAAAGCTATGTGAGAGAAAGTTGCTTACGAAAACACGGTGCGTTCGTTTGTGGGCTTTCATTTTTGTACCATCCGTAGTTTGTGATGGCCTCTTCAAAAGAAACTGCGTGATTTCTAATTGTTATCTTGAATAAAGATGGCGGATGAAAATTCGTTTCTTTTGCTTAATTTACACTTTATCATTTTGAAGTTGACATCTCGGACGCCGCAAATTTATATTATCGTTTAACAGCCTTTATCGATGATTACATTATTTTTTTATTTAACTAAGAGTGCACAGTCCATTCGATTAGAGCTTTTATCCAGGTTTCAGTTTGTTCGGTGAGTTTTGACAAGCATTGTTCAAAAATGATTAACGACTGTGGAAGCAGTTCACCCGAATCACGCCTTATACTCGTATTAAAATTGTGATTATTCAAAATGCCACAATTAAACGTACCAACCTAAGTCGCAGAACTCGCAATGCTGCGAGTCAAAGATGTCTGCGAAAGGTTGGGAAATCTTGAAACTGAAGATACTACAGATCATAATATGCGAATTGACCTAAATATACAGTAGTCCAAAAATTGATAGTTTGCGAGATACAGGGCGTCAAAGTTACAATTTTATTTTCTATTTTTTCTTATTGCTTGAGAAGTATTTCAGATTTTGGCATAAAAATATAGGGGATTTCTAGTATGAGAAACAAGAATCCGTTATTTTTTATGGCAAAACTTCTAGAGGGTGAAAGTTACAGCACTATTTTGGTGAATAACTTATAACTTTTTTGTGCTGCCCTATATACAACAACTGAGTGAAAAAAAAAATGATTTTCTCGTTTTTCCATAACAAAAAAGGGTTACTTGTTAGAAGTGTCCAAAGTTTTCGAGATATTTGTTTTTGCTTTTCACGGATTGTTTTTAAACCTTTGGGTATGCCTTCGGAAACACTATTTGTAGCAATTTTGTGATTGTATGTTATTTCCCGCAGGATGATTAGTAGATTTTTAGTATTTGCCAGAAACTTCCAAAATTTCTTTGAATCAACTTGAGTTTCCCTTTCTACATTTGTTACGTAACTTTGAAAGTCTTTGGATATCAACTGATTTTCTCCTCAATTCAGCGTAAGCTCGTAAGTTATTATACAATTCGAATTGGGATAGTTACGCTTGATTTTAAATTTAGCTACACTTGTTTCAACTACATCTTTGAGCTTAACCGTAAAAATTTCAACCAGTTCACTGACATCTGAACAATGCAGAATCATTTCAACCCAACTGATATGCGACAGCATATCAAATGTCCATATACGAGCCCCTTCCCACTTCAGTTGGCCCACTTCAAGATTTGTACCAAAATATGCCTTTATAAACTACACAGGACGAAACTATTTACTTCTAAAACAATTTATTTTCTCAAAAACATTCCAGATACACTCTAGTCGTAAAAAATACATATCTGAAATCACTTAGACCTATAACTAATAGAACATCTGAACAAATAAACAATGTGCGAATAAATGCGCGAAGTTAACAAAGCAACAATTGCAAGATTACCATAGGGTAACATCACCTTTATTTTTTATTACGGCTGATAATTCTTTGGGGCATAGTGTTAACCAAGTTTTGGCAAAAATTTGTTGTAAAACAATCCCATATTTCATGAAGCTTTTGTCTCAGTTCGGTGATTGAACGAGCAGGATGTTGTCGTAGAACCTTTTTCATCTCGTGCCATAAAGTTTCAATAGGTGACAGATCTGGACTGCTAGAAACCCATTTCAAAAGTGATACATTATTTTCTTCCATCCATTTTATAGCCTTTTTTGAGGTATGGCACGCTGCACCATCTTGCTGAAACACAAAATCTTGGTCGGATGTCAAACATTCTTCCGTCACTGGTAAAAGCGATTCTTCTAAAATTGCCAAATATTTGTTTGGGTCCACATTTCCATCAATAAAATGAAGTTTTCCTACTCCTTTTGATGACATACTGCCCCAGACCATAATGGATGCTGGAAACTTTATTTTTCTCTTCAGACAGTCAACATGGAATGCTTCATTTTTTTGCGAATAACTCTACTGCGACTGTCACCAACACAAACTTCGAATCGGGCCTCTTCACTCCAATGTATTGCACACCATTGTTGAGGTGTCCATTGTCTATGTTCTTTAGCCCATCTAAGCCGATTTTTCTTTTGCAGTGGAGTTGATAGTGGCTTTTCTTTTGCCTATAAACAAGTTGTGCAACTTTTGGGTTTTTATTTCACTTTATTTTATAAGAAAACTTACTATACCTTGCAAGTGCTAAATCCCAGTTTTTGGGCCTCTATGAGTTGTGGACCTCGAAATTCTCCTTCCAACAGCGTCACTCCACAGAGCACTTAATTGTAAATAATTGGCACGCCTGTTTTTCACGATTATTCTTCTTAATGCTCTTCGGTCGGCATTTGTGATATTACTTTTTTTCACATATCGTGGCTTAATATTAACTGAACCAGTTACGTTATATCTTCTAACAATATTTCTCACACTGTACCGCGATAAGTCTAACAGAGTTGCAATTTTTGAGTTTGATTTCCCAGAATTAAAAAATTTAATTATCGGTAACCGAATTTTCTCACTAACTATACATTATCAAAATATCCATTGCTAATATTTTAAACCTATAACACCCTGCTACATTTTAATTATTTGTGTTTGATAAGAAAAAAACTAAGATTTCAGTAGATGGGCCAACTGAAGTGGAAAGGGGCTCGTAGTTAGCTTTTAGGAAGTCATGAATGGTTCATTCATTGGAAATCGTAGATTTATGTCATTACCATACCTCAGCAGTTGATCCCCCTCGTCGAACAGGTATCTGTGCCCCCTGGTATTGACGAACACGTCATGGCGCCTGTGGTTGATCTTGATTTGTATGTCGCGTTGCCCGGCGAGGTATTCTCATGTTTGGAACTGGTGGTGCCTCCAAGTTTTCTCGAGCAACCCTAGGCTCGTCCCGCTGTTGTTGAGCAGGTAACATCATTCATGGTTGTCTTGGTACCTCGGGTTCTCTTGGATTTGGAGGTGGCCTTGCCCGGCGAGGTATTCTCATGTTTGGAACTGGTGGTGCCTCCAAGTCTTCGCGAGCAACCCTAGGCTCGTCCCGCTGTTGTTGAGCAGGTAACATCATTCGTCGTTGTCTTGGTACCTCGGGTTCTCTTGGATTTGGAGGTGGCCTTGCCGGGCGAGGTATTCTCATGTTTAGAACTGGTAGTACCTCCAAGTATTCGCGAGCAACCCTAGGCTCATCCCGCTGTTGTTGAGCAGGTAACATCATTCGTCGTTGTCTTGGTACCTCGGGTTCTCTTGGATTTGGAGGTGGTATTGGTTCCTGCAATAATTAGTGGATAAAAGTCAGTAAAAATTAGTACAACGTTCCTCAAAGAATGGCGTCAAGTAGGTTGACTCTGAACTTTCCACTTAACGTTATCGTTAGGTCATAAAGCATTATGTTCGGCTCAAGCCAGAGAAACATGAGTCAGGCTCTCCGATTTACAATGTTCATCAAAATCGGTTCTACAGTTGCTGAAATGTGTGTTGATAAGGAAGCTCTTTTGATCGGACCGAAGAATGAAGGAATTAATTGACCAAGGTCTGCTATTTGAACAAAACAAAGCACGTGGAACACATAAACTTTGAAACACCGTTGTCGCAATTTGCCTAATATAGTTTCGGAGCACCGTATAGTAGCATCATTATTAATAACATAATTACTTCTTATCACTTCTTATGCATCACCAAGTGTTTCCTATTAATATACTGATAATACCGAGTTGACCTACTCCACGTCATTAGTTTTGATGTAGTTGACTGTGAAACTGTACCTGTACATTGAGAATCTCATTTAGTTCTCTTTGGGGCTCTCTGGGATGATTTACTGCTTGCAGTACCTGTGGAAAATATACAATGGCTAAAGTAGTTAAATTTAGAAAAACAAACTGTTACCGATTATAATGATAATTCAATAAATACCTCCATACGAAAATGTGTTGAAAATTTAATACCTAGGATTTGAGTTATAATTCTTATACAGAGCGTTCCAAATTCGACCCTTACCATTGGGATCTCGGAAAATTGATATACAAAGTTACTTAAATTGACACAAAGTTGCGTATTTTAATATTCAACGAAATGCCACTTAGAAAGTTTCTAAAGTCAATGTACTTCCGGAGAGAGACGGTAAAAACTGTATTTTATCAAAATCATTTTAATTTTTACCTGACTTTATTTGTAGTGGGATTTCAAAATTAATTGCACAATTAAATTGCCACTTTTTCTTCTCTACAAGATGGCATAATTAGAATTTGAAAATGTTGTTGCATCTCTTGTCTTCCAGCATCAATTTTATTTTTTCTTAAAGACGCCATATTGGCGTTTTATAGGTGTACATTCTTAGTAACTTCAGACGTACCACTCAGGACCATTGTTATTTAACATATACATGAACAACCTTACTTCTGTTTTCCATTTCAGTAAATACAATTTGTTATATGCTGATGATCTAAAGATATTTACTATTGTTAGAAATGTAAATGACGGTGTAAAACTTGAAGGCTATTTGGAATCTCTGCAAAAGTATTGCACTGAAAACAGTATCTTCCTGAATTTAACAAATTGTTATTACATGAGGCTTACTAGAAACATAGCGGACACTATAGATTTCAGATATAAGATAGGGACGGCAGAACTGGAAAAGCTTCATGTAGTAAAAGACCTACGGGTATACATTGATGAGAAACTCTCATTCATCACTCGCGTAGAGCACATCGTAAATGATGCAAATAGAACATTAGGCTTCATAAACAGGACATGCAGAGAATTTACGAACCCAAAACTGTACTACGCTTATATACACAACAAATTGATGTTTGCATCAGTAATATGGAATCCGTCTTACAATGTACATATAGCCAGGATAGAAAGAATTCAACACAAATTGTTGAAGATGTTAGCACATAAAACTCACCAACCTGTTACAGATCATCATTATACGCAAATTATGAAACAGTTCAATATGATTTCCTTAAAAGATAGAAGAACGATTTCTGACATTTGTTGTGTTCATTAATTGTTGAATGGCCTCACTGACTGTCCGGATCTTTTGGCAAACCTGAACTGATAGAACGTTTAGAACCTATGATCTGTTTAGAATACCGTTCCGTAGAACTAATCTTGGGCTTAATTCCCCTTTGGTCAGGGCTCAAAAAAATCATAATAATTTCTTTAATATAGATTTATTTAACATTAGCTTGACCGTCCTGAAAAAGGCATTAAAGTATGAGTATTACAGCTCTATGGCAGACTAAATAGAAATCTTTTATTTTGTTTACATAACTCAAGTTATCACCTCCAATATCATTAGTGGTATAATTTCAATTCAATTTTGATTTCAGTTTTAATTAAACGTAAGTAAATGTTCGTTTTTGTCATAGATAAATGATTTAGGTATTTAGCTGGTCTTCAAATTGTTAATGTTAGTCAATAAATTCTTTAATGTTGTCTATAATCCATTGGAAAACATCTCCAATGAAGACGTGTACGCCGTTGCTGGATGAGAAAGACAAAAATTCCAGATAAAAGATGAATAGCAGTGTTGGCCAGCATCATAGCATTTTGAAAAATAAAAGTTTTCAAGTTACTAGCACATCTTACCAAAACAAAAAACTATTTTGGTATTAGGCCACTGGAATACACCCCTATATTAAGAGTAGTAATTTGGATTTGTTCATTACGCCATTCAATTGCAAAGTAAAATTTACAAATTCGGTTTAAATTACATAATGTCAAAGTAGCAAACTTTTACTGCACGTCACTGGAGTCAATAACGTTATCGGGCGCAAGAAATTCCACTTGTGAGAAAAAGATATCAGTTTTCAAGAGAAACCCCAAAAAGTCCCTTTTTTAGGGATACATGTAACAGTTTTTCAAAATTCGATAATTTGAATTATAGCCAACATTCGAAAAATTTTATCACTTTTTCAAATAGTCTAAAACAAAAAGATGCATAGAACAATTTCCTACAGCAAAAAATGGGAATCTAACATAGCCCCAAACTTTGTTAAAAGTCTATCTGATAGTGAGCTCGTGAATTTACCGTATTAAAAGTGAACCATAACACAAACAATTTTCGACTTGCTACCATATAGTGCAAATCACGAACCAGGACGCATTGTGAGTAGAAAATATTGTGCTATATACCGAAGACATAGTAAATCAGTGGATCAAATAGATTCCAATCTCAAGCGTTCGGGAAAAACGCGTCCAGAATTTGGTACCTCGAAAGAACAGATCCGTATTCAGAAATGATATTTTCCCATACTGATATAAAACCTTAGCAACAATGACATCAACACCGATTAACCAACCCACACACTATTCCACAATTCTGACTACATATAAACATCCAACTAAAGAACAAGCTATAGTTTTCAATTCCATAGATGGAGCAAGAATACAAGATTACTTGCTCCAATTAGGACCAATGATTGACCCGAAGAACATTTTGTTTTGCTCTAGAATCTCCAATAACAGAATTTGCATATACCTCTCCAGCAAGGAATTAGTAAATAAATTCGTAGAGAACCCTGGGGAAATTGTAATACAAGGAGAAAAAATTAAGGCCTGTAAATTAATTTCACCATCGGACAGGTTAGTGCTATCGAACGTCTGCCCAACAATACCACACGCAGTTTTAAAGGAAAAACTACAAGACCTAGGCTTGAAATTACTATCTTCCATAACATTTTTGAGAATCGGAGCAACAGTACCAGAATACAATCACATATTAAGCTTCAGGAGGCAGGTATATATTACACCTCTAGAATCTAACCAAATACCTGAGTCCATCGAAATCACTCACGATAGTCTATCATATCGCATCTTCTTATCGCTAGACAGTCAGAAATGTTTTAAATGTAAACTTTCTGGTCATATTGCTTCACACTATCCTTCTGTAAACAACACACCACTGACAAATAACAGCAACACACAATATAGTCAGCCAGAAATCCCAGCCACCGAAACCACTCAAAGGATAGAACAGAATCATAGCAAAACAACAGTTTTTCTCCCTTCATCTCAACCAAGCAACAAGGAAATACCAGTACAGACATCCAACACCTCACATGAACCACAAAGCGTAACATTCAGTAGCAGCCAGACAAATATAATAGATAAAGCACCCAACAAAAGACCCATTTCAAATATTTTAACACCTCCAGCAGCAACTACACCCAACAGTCCTACGTTCACTACTCCAAGAAACATTAACATCAAAAAGCATAAGTCGGAAACTGGACCGTCGATCATCCAAGACGATGCTTTATCTCCAGTTAAAGCATTTATAGACAGCCATACCCCACCACTTGCGTTAAATTGTGACCAGCTCAAGAGTTTACTGGAAAACACACATGGGGTACAAGACATAACAAATATCATAAACGACTTTACAGATGATATCAAGGGACTTACAGAAATGTTACTACTAATATATTCTCATATAGATGACAGAACGCTAAAAAACCGCTGCACCAGACTTCGGAAGAAACTGGAACGCCTCATCGACAAAAATCTCAATGACTCTCTTAGCGATACTTCCTCAATAGACACATCTTTTTACTAAAATAAGAATCATGTCAATATTGCAATGGAACTTAAATGGATACTATGTCCATTTAAACATGTTAAAAAAACTGATAGCTGATTATACACCAGATGTCGTTTGCCTCCGCATTTCCACGACACAAAATCACACTCATCCAAAAACTATGCAGGATTTTTCAAAAACAGGCAAAGAGCCGCAGCAAGCGGTGGAGTCTCAATATACGTCAAAAGGGAGATCCCTGTCCGACCAATTCCATTGAATACAAACCTAGAAGCTATAGCTATATCTATAGACCTCAAAGATGTACTCAACATATGTAACATTTACATCCCACCAGACTACCATTTGGAACCTGCCGAATTCCAAGCTCTGTTAGAACAAATACCCAGCCCTAGAATAATATTAGGACACTTCAACGCCCACAGCAACTCGTGGGGCTCTTTTAAAAATGATCCTATGGAAGAATTATTCAAGGAAGCACTTGAGACGAACAACCTAGCCTTACTCAACGATGGAAGCAGCACAAGGTTTGATGCTGCTTCAGGGAGATTTTCTACCATCGACTTAAGCGCATGCTCGCCGAGCCTTCTGACGCATCTGAATTGGACCACTGCTGATGACTTATATAATAGCGATCATTTTCCTATTGTCATCTCAGATTCAAGAAATGATAGAAATGATACGATACCACCAAATAAATGGAGATTAAAAGAGGCCAACTGGACTGATTACTCGCAATATATAGACAACAATATTAACAACATCGATTTAACCGAAAATATAAACATAATAATAAAAAAGTTTAATAACTTAATCACCAAAGCAGCACAACAACACATTGGGAAAACAAAAACCGTCAAAAAGAAAAATCCAGTTCCTTGGTGGAACCAAGAATGCGAGACAGCACTCAAAGAAAGTAAATCAGCTCTAAATAAGTACAAAAGACACAAAACGACTGAAAACCTACGTGACTTAAGACAGAAGCAGGCCAGAGCAAGACTTACAACAAACAGAAATCAGAAAAAGTCGTGGCAAAGTTTTGTTGAAGGAATGAATACAAGAACACCAATATCAACAATTTGGAAAAAGATAAAAAGTATCTCTGGCGCAAATAGTTTTCAAAAATTAAAGCAATAAAAGATGAATCGATAATTCACACTAACAGCGATGAAATTGCTGAAATACTATCGAAAACATACTATAAGCACTCCAGCAATGATAACTACTCTCAAGAGTTCATAGCTCACAAAACACAACACGAAACAATTCCAATAACAGTTGAGAATAATGAAGACACCATCAACACTCCCCTAACCATTAACGAACTGCTCGATGCCATTCAAGATATGAAAAACACATCACCAGGGCCAGACGATATTCCAACCGTCTTCCTCAAGAACCTGCCTCTATCCGGTAGGAAATGTTTATTGGACATTTACAATATAATATGGTCAAAACATGAGTTTCCGAATAGCTGGAATCAAGCAATTGCCATTTCCATAGTTAAGCCAGGTAAACAACAGCTAGATCCAGAGTCATACAGACTAATTTCCTTAACATGTGTACCATGTAAATTGCTTGAGAAAATTATAAACAAGCGCCTGGTCTGGAGCCTAGAACAAAAACACGTACTGATACAGGAACAAGCAGGTTTCAGGCCGAACAGATCGACTATGGATAATATAGTCGATTTGAACAATTATATTCAGGAGGCATTTGAAAACCAGCAACACTGTTTTGCCATTTACTTTGACATTAATAAAACCTTCGACACGGCGTGGAGATATAAAATAATCGAGAAGCTTAAAGACTGCGGCTACAATGGACATATATTAGCTTTCATTGCCAACTTTTTGGGTGGAAGAAACTTCCAGGTTCGAGTGAATGGATCACTGTCCAAATTGAAAACACAAGAGAACGGTGTACCACAGGGATCAATTATCAGTCCGTCACTTTTTCTAATTACAATCAATGACATCTTGGATAATATGGAGAAACCTGTCCAAGCCAGACTCTACGCAGACGACATGATAATTTACGTAAGAGCCAAAAATATTGAAACCAGTGCCCAACTCTTAAAAGCGCAGTTATCGAAATTAGAACACTGGTCCAATCAGACAGGCTTTTCGTTTTCTCCCAGCAAAACAAAATGCATCATCTTCAGCAAAAAATGTGAACAGAATAATCCATCACTACAAATACATGACACATCGCTAGAGTACACGGATGAAATCAGGTTTCTAGGAGTTACATTTGACAGACGTCTAACATGGAGAAAACATATCACTCAGCTTATTCAGTCTTGCCAAAGGATAATTAATGTGTTAAAATGTCTAGCACATAAGCACTGGGGAGCAGAAAGCAAAACACTTTTAACCATTTACAGACTGCTAATACGATCAAAAATAGACTACGGGTGTATCGTGTATGCATCTGCCAAAAAAACCATATTAAAGCATCTGGATGTGGTACATAATACAGCTTTACGTATCATACTAGGAGCCTATCGAACAACACCGCTGGAAAGCTTATACTGCGAAGCAGGAGAACCCCCACTGCAACTGCGACGAGACATTCTCAGTTCATCATATATCATTAACACAGCATCAAACCCAGATGCTCCCACTTCTAAAAACCTACGCACCCTCATAGAATACGACAGAAATCCATTGCACATTCCACCACTACACAGAATGCCTCAATTATATCCAGTCAAAGTCTCAAACGCACCACCTTGGGCTGTTCAGCTTCCTCGTGTAAATAGCCAGCTAACAGAACTAGACAAGCATAGCACCCCTAACGAAATAATACAGAGAAATTTCTACGAAATTGTTGGTAAATATCTTGACCACAAGCTAATATTTACCGACGCATCGAAACAAGGATCAAACTGCGGAGCAGCAATAGTTACACCAACAACCATCAAGACCTTGAAGATTCCGGACTCAGCCACTACTCTGACAGGAGAGCTTTACGCGATTCTGGAAGCATTAAAATATATAGAAAGCACCGTTGACCAAAAATGGATAATCATTACAGACTCACTTAGCTCAATATACTCCATCAATAAGTTATATATAAAAAATCCGATAGCCAAGATAATACAAGAAACAATTACTCAACTCACCAACAATAACCAGATTATAGTACTTATGTGGGCTCCATCTCACAAAGGAATAGCAGGGAATGAAACAGCAGATACAAACGCTAAAAGAGCGGCAACGAACAACAGCATCTGCAACCTCCCAGTTCCAGCATCAGATATGAAGGTATATGTAAAACGCAAAACAATAGACCAGTGGAATAGTGTGTGGAAGAACAAGCCTTCCAAGCTACAAGAAGTGAAACCCAAGCTCAATGAATTGCAAACAGTAACAGAAAAAAGGAGACTGCAAGTGATAATAACCCGCCTCCGACTGGGCCACACAAGAATCACCCTCAGCTACCTCATCACCCGTGACCCTGAACCAATGTGTTTTATGTGCGAAAGCGTTTTATCGGTAAAACACATTCTAGTGGAGTGCCCAATGTTCGAACAACAAAGACATCAGTTTAATCTCTGTGGTAAAACTCTAAAAGACATAATTGGAGCCACCTGCAATGTCCGAAATCTAATGTTGTTCTTGAGCCATTGTAATTTAATACATAAAATTTTATTCATGTACACATTAAATCCGCTGCTAATAGCTAATTAGCTGATGCAGCTTATGTAAATAAAAAAAAAACTTTGTTAAAAAACCTGAATTTCTTTGCTCACCCTGTATAGGTGGATAAATAAAAGAAATATATCGGTCGAACCTTGTATATGTTCTCAAAGAGTTGGTCAAGAACCTGCCGAAAATATCACGTTTTGAATTTGGGTAAAATTTTCCATGTTGCAAAGCAATTACTGTCTACCAGTTTATATTATGATACGATTATTCGATACTTGATATACTAAAATTGAAATTTGTGCAATGAACTATTACCTGCATCCATCTTGGTTGCGCGGTAGTCTGTCGTTTATGTTCAAAGTATTTGTCAAGATCAATTGACGGATCAGACTTCAACCTGTTGGGACCAACTTGCTTCTTCGCTTCATCAGCTGCCGCAGTAAGTTCACGTTGTTGCAATGCGAGCATGTCGACATACAGCGGGCACCTATATTTGAGAAACCGAAAGAATAAGAGTACTAATGGTGATCCCCATGATCCGCCCCTGACCTCCTTGCAAATTTTTCATTTGATAATCGTTATCGACACTAAGTGATCTTATTAGGTTCCGATTACAAAATGTTAAGTACAAGTCAAACTGTTTTTCTTTATGTGTTTCACATCCCACGCCTACGGGCGGGGAAGTATCCGTACAGTAAGCAAGATAAATTTCAAAAACAAGATCACGACAAACCATGTCACTCATCTTCATCGATCTGTCTGCCTAGTTAATTGCTAGCCGGTCTACAGCGTCTAAAGTGTATCTAACGAAGCTACAAAGTAATCGTAAACAGTGGTTGATTCGTGATCAACGCGTGATCGGTAGCCATGGCGCTCTGTCGGCCTCTTCCTGATTGGCTTGTAGCGACGAGCCTCCAGACAAAGTCGCACGGTTGCACGCTCGGCGAGTTTTCGCCAGAGTGGTTGATCACATTCGCATGGATCACAAATCAATCTGTTGGTGCAATACGTGCAATAACTGTTGTAAAGGACATTATATAACAATAAATGGCATCACAAAGGTATATTCCAATTTGATCTGCAACAAATTATGAACGGCATATACGGAGATGCGAAAACAAGCTCAAAAAGGTGAAGAAAATTTTTGTGCAATCTTTATAGTTAAATTTTTCCTAAGAGATAGCATCAGTGAGGGAATTTTTTTCTATTGTCTTATTTTTCACATTAATGCGATGTCGAGGTATGTGGCCCTATCGCAATTGAAAATAAGGTTTCGATAATCCTTCCATAAAGTTTCGATGAGTACATCTGAAATAACCTTGAGATATTCTTCAGGGAAATACAAAAATCTCCTTTTGTGTTTTTTTGTGCAGATTTATCTATTAAAATCCTATCCGCAATCTATTTTCCGTGCACACACCTTCAACCGAATGTATGCCATATATGATATTACCGTCTCCAACTTTCACCAAGGTTAATAGGAACCATAACAGCTCCCTACCCTTCCCCCCTATAAGAATATCGATTTGTAGCCTCACATTTCAAGGTTAGACTTCTTGTAATGTTTCTGTTCAACATTCGGCGATTTCTGACAATTTTCCCAATAAAACATGATCATTGTGACATTAAGCCTGCATAGTAGAGGGAACTCTCAGCGTCACGTTGATGGTTCGTCACCACGCACAGGATTGTAATCAGTTACGGATACCCGTTTATGAGCGCGAACGTTTTATGCACGTCTTGACTTGATTTTTCTTGCGGAAATTTAATATTAGTCTAAAATGTCTGACACAGATACAGCTGATGAAGTGGTTGAAATCAGCTTAACGCCACCCAGAAAAAGGGCTAAAAAGCTTCATCTTAGCGCAGGTAAAAAACAAATTATTCTAAATATCTACAAGAACCAGATGCAAGAGAATAGTGGATTGGCTATAGAAAATATCGTATGTAAGGTTGCTGAAATTTCTGGAGTAGGTCGATCAAGTGTTTACAAAATCTTGAAGGAATATAGACAAAATCACTCACTATCTGAGCCAAAAACATATCCAGCGAGAAAAAAAAATCATCGAAAAAATAGATGACTTTGACAAAAGTGCCATTAGAAGAAAAGTACATCACTTTTTCTTCAGGAATGAAATACCTACAATAGATAAAATATTGAAGCAAGTGAATGATGATGAGGACCTGCCAAATTTTAAAAGATCTACGTTCCATAAGCTGTTGAAAGAACTAGACTTTCGATTTTTGAAAAGAGGAAGGAATAGTTTATTGATAGAAAAGGAGGAAATTGTTATCTGGAGGAGAGAATACCTTAGAAAAATTAGGCAATTCGCGCTGAAGGAAGAAACATTTATTATTTAGACGAAACATGGGTGAACGCGGGGCATACGCAGGGAAAGGTTTGGGTAGACAGATCTGTGAGGTCCTCAAGGCAGGCTTTTTTAGATGGCCTTTCGACGGGATTGAAAAATCCTGCAGGTAAGTTTCGAAGTATATGAACTTTTTTGGATGCAGATAATTCATTTTCTGATCGAATCAATGATTTGGAAGCTCCGAACTCAGTTTTGCTATCTCATCCAAGTTTCTGAGTATTTCCTTCACCCAAAAACTAATCTAAGACCCTATCCTACACTAACCTAAAAAGAGTAAGTTGCTTAATTTCGTCATTTAGTGCGCTCGCTGAGAAGTAAAATAACTAATTACTTTCAGGCAAGGGAAAACGCCTGATCATTTGCCACATAGGTAGCGTAGATGGATTTGTTCCTGAAGCATTGTGGGCATTTGAATCCAAAAAAACTGGAGACTATCACGAAGAAATGGATGGTAACTCATTTGAAAATTGGTTCAAAAAATGTTGCCGACACTTGATGATAACGCAATTATTGTGATGGATAATGCCCCGTACCACTCCAGAAAATTGGAAAAAATTCCAACAATGGCCACCAAAAAGGCAGACATTCAACAGTGGCTTGTCTCAAAGAAGATCGACTTCGACCAAACAATGGTCAAAGCTGAGCTGATGAATATAGTCAAGCGACATAAGTATAAATATGATTTAAAAATTGTTGACGAAATGGCCAAAAACCAAAATAAAACGATTCTCAGGCTGCCTCCCTATCACTGCGAACTGAATCCTATCGAGTTGATTTGGGCCGACATCAAGCAATATGTGGTGTCAAATAACAGCACTTTTAAGTTTTCTGACCTTAAAAAACTGTTTGATGTTGCTGTCGATAGAATTACGCCAGCAAAATGGAGAACATGTATTGACCATGTCCAAGAGAAGGTTGAAACCAAAATGTGGGATATGGACAATATCATTGACACCCAAGTTGAACCCCTTATAATTGACATCAACAATTCTGATGATTCAAGCTCCTCGGAATACAGCATATAAATCGATTGATACCATTAAGACTGGCAGTTTAGCGGGCTTTTTGGCAAGACAGGTAAGTTCATTATAGACTGCAATCAAAGTGTAAGTTTCTAGTTATTAATGTGGAAATTCCAAATTCATAATTACACAAAATTAGGGTTAATTTAGGAGTTCCAAAGCATAATAGTGCCATTTTGACCTTCTTCCTATTTCTCATGTAAATTTTAATAGCAATCAAACTAACAAACTTTATGGAGTCTGTAATAAACTTTTGTACTACTACTACTACGTCTGTAGTTTCTATTTGCTCAAAAAAATTTGCTCTGCATTGTGAATAGAAGGTTGATTTGTAAATATTATTGGGTATATATGTAAGTTAATAATAAAATATGAACAATTTCAATTGAGATGGTCCACAAGTTTTTTCGTGTGCGTTTTAGTAACATTTTGCTGAAATGGTGAATACAGAATTTTTTGCACTGATTCCTAATGTCGAAATATGATTAGAAAGGCGTGGTATATTCCTGATAATTTACTATGCTTTTGATAGAATTTACAGCAACACATATCTTGTACGACATTTTTTGATAGATCAGTCACAATAGCTTGATACGGCCCTGTAGCGTCTCCTACGGTTAAGTTCTTGATCACGTGCAATGCGGGTGTATATGTTTGATTTTACTTTGTTTCTTCGGTGGATACAGTTTAATATTTTTCACACAAACTATGTGCGCCACTGACTTTTTAAATGTTTCTATTTTTTTTTCAAAATTAGAAGCTGAAAATACAACTTTTTTGTCTTTTGAGTTTCCTCCATATCTCGCTTCGTTTGCGAGATAAAAAAATAAAAAGCTCTTTCTTGTGCCCACTGGCCTATAGGGCATTTGAGTCAAAGAAAACTACCGACTACCATGAAGTAATGGACGGCAGTTCATTTGAACGATGGTTTGAAGAAACGCTCCCAAAGCTTGACGACTATGCCGTCATTGCACTTGATAATGCTGCATACCACACTAGAAAACTAGAAAAAATTCTCACAATGTCCACAAGAAAGGCAGAAATTCAACAATGACTCCTATCAAAAGACATTAGTTTCAATCAAAATATGGTCAAAGCAGAACTTATCATCTAGTCAGACAGCACAAATATAACCTATGTTAATGTTATTGACGAAATGGCTAAAAAACCAAATAAGACCGTTTTAAGGCTGCCCCCTTATCACTGCAAATTAAATCCCATTGAAATGATTTGAGCATTCAAATTTTCTGACGTGAAAAATTCGTATTATGAAGCTGTCAATAGAGTGACGGCAAACCATTGGAGATTCCATCCGTCACGTTCAAGAGGCAATCGGAACAAGGATGTGGAATCTGGACAATAATATGATCGATATTCAAACTGAACCTGTAATAATTAATATTAACCGTTCGGCCGATGATTCAAGTACTTCCATCGAATATATAATTGTAAAAAGTATGTGCACTTGTTTCTATAAAAATAATCATTTATTTTGTTAGATTATTCCAAGAACATTGAGAAAAATACGGACCTGTACAATCTCGCTTTTCGGCATGTTGTGTTTTGTCTGGGCGTAAATGAACTACGAATGGGGATTACGTATATGTAAATAGTGAAATTCGAATGTTACTTTATTGCAATGGTGTTAGGGGCAGAAAATAGGGATAAACTTTCTTAATTACTTACTTCTCATACTGACTGCCTCCAAGTCCATTGAAGTGATCATACCCTGTCACTGGCTTATTGCAGACATAACATGACACCGCACCACATATGCACGTTATCTTGTTGCAGCCGTCCTCCTCCTTGACAAACTTTCTCTGACATCTGTGGCATGTTCTGTAAGGCATAGAAGAATAGGTATCATAACTGCTAGCTGATACGGCCAAGAATATCCAGAATACGTCGTACATTACATACCTAGATTGGGAATTAAGCGATTGTTGGACGAAATTTTTAACGAATAAATCATGAGGTGCATATCGCTGATATATATAATTTGCAAGATCAATTGAATAGCCTTTTTATATGAGGCATGCATAAGAATTTTTTTGTACTAACTCAGCTTCCAAGAAGAAAAATGACAGCAACGCTCACAATGACCTTCACCACGACTTCAAGGTCATTTCAAGGTCAGTAGCACGACACTCTGACCCACGCGGCCAACCGAGGTCCCTAACTTCTCCTTTTTACACCGGCTTCTTTTCGCTCACTGCAATTTTGTCAAAAAATCAACGGGTTGGTTTACGAATAATATTTAAGATTGACATGACCCTTTTTCAATCTTGGAATAAAAATGAGTGGTTTGCTTCGAAAATTTTGACTCGATCTTGAAGGTTAAAGTCATGGTCATGATTGAGGTCACCTTGGGGGGTGATCCTCACAAACCACAAACCTGTTTCTTCAGAGTGCCTCGTTTTCGAAATATTCAAGTGTAGAGAATAAAATGGAAGATACGCGTAGCCTCTGTGGGTAAATCTATCATGTGGGGTAGGTAAATTGAGGACTGACAAAGAAAAAAAATTGGAAGTTTCGGCTAAATGTCCGTCATTTTCAATAATAATCGTTTATTTTTATATTGCTCGTATTAGGCACATCGGCTAGGTGGCCCTGTTATCGCGCACCAAGCATGTAGTGTCATTTACTTTAACCTGTACGTAAATCCACGGTTATAACGTTTCATACTAATTTTATAAATACTTTGAAACAACTGGCAACTCTAATGAATGCAATATAAAGTACTTAGATTTGTCTGAGACGTATGCCTATTGGTTTTGTTTTTATTCTGGTAGAGATAAAAGCCCTGTTCCCATAATTTCCCGATTACTGAAATACTCATGACAAACTACAATTGATTTTAAATATACTAAGTGACATATAAATCCGAACACCCAGTTTAAATGGTTTGATTTTAATAAAAGTTGGTGAATGTATTTATCTTACTGTAAATAACAAGTGAAAAAATTTTCAGCCTTATCAGTTGAACATTCCGGTTTTTATACTGCTTTTTTTTTAATTCACTAACGCTCTAAAAATGAATATTTCAGCCGCGGTAAAGAATCAACGTTGGCGGATTTTGGTTCTTGACATCCTTTACGATCGGTTACGATGCCTAGAGTACGGAGACCTGTACGATTTCGTCAACTTAGTGAGTTTGATAGGGGCCGTATAGTGGGACTTCGGGAAGCTGGACCTTCTTTTCGGGCAATTGCAGTTAGAGTGCAAAGAAGTGTAGACACTGTGGTTAGGTGTTGTCAGGCATGGCTTCGAGAAGGCCGTACGCAAAAGAGCAAGGGGCGCTGGACGCCGCGGTAGAACAACAGACCGCGAACATCGCCGCCTAAGATTATTGGCCTTAAGGGACCGTTTCTCCACTACCAGGTCCATTGCAAATGAATGGTTTGCAGAACACGGAAGACCTACTGACATGCGAAGTGTTTACCGACGAATGAGAAGTTTTGGCTTGTTTTCATACCGGCCACACTGGGTCCTCTTTTAATCGAGAACACCGACGTAATCGCCTTGAGTGGTGCAGTCAACGGTCACTCTGGGATCAGGAATGGAACAGTATTGTCTTTAGTGACGAGTCTCGATTTTGTTTAGGCATGCACGATGGTCGTGCCAGGGTTAGAAGGCGACGTGGTGAAAGGAGGAATCCACAGTTTTTTGTTGAAAGACATGTTCATCACACTGTTGGAGTTATGGTTTGGGGTGCTATAGCTTATGGTTCCAGGTCACCTTTAGTCTTCATCAGAGGTAACATGAACGCGCAGCGTTATATCCACGAAGTTCTAGAACCCCATCTTTTACCCTATCTTTACACCCTGGCAGATCCAACTTTCCAACAAGATAATGCCCGACCACATGTTGCAAGAGTCACAATAGACTTCTTTCAACATAATGATGTCACATTGTTGCCATGGCCACCAAGATCTCCCGACTTATCCCCAATTGAGCACGTGTGGGATATGATGGGTAGGAGATTGCTCAATTTGCAACGTCCTCCTCAGACTCTAGAAGCACTTCGAGAGGAGTTGGTGGTTGCCTGGAATGAGATACCACAGGAGGACATTGACCACCTGATCAGAAGCATGCCTAGGCGCGTTGGAGAATGCGTAGCACATCAGGGTGCATCCACACATTATTAAAGGTCAAAGGGCTTTAAACCAGTGCAATCATTTTGAAATTTTTATCATTTACTTATTATGCTTCATTAAGTACTTATACAAAATTTTATTAAAATAAAACCGTTTAAACTGGGTGTTCGGATTTATATGTCACTTAGTATATTTCTCAGTTGTTTTTAAATATTGAGAAATATAAAGAACATTCATCAAACCACGCTAATGGAACTAGCAGGATGAGATTTTAAATAGGGTTCATTACGTCGTTCTCAATTCATTAACACAACATATAAAAATCTCTTCCGTAATTACTGGTGCCGCACAGGTTACCAAAAGGGAAGTTGTGTTACGAAATAATTACAGATGAAGAACGACTTTTTTTTTCAATAATTGTACAATTTGTAGCGTTTATGTTGTATGGCGCAGGTTGTGTAATATTGTCTTAATGTACCAACGGATTTAGTAATTTCATACCTCAATATTGCTTCGGTCATCTTATTTTCAACGTGGACGCGTGCCTTGACATCTTCGTCCTTCTCAACCTCATCGCATCGCAACGGAAGGTGGTTGAGCTCTTTGCATAACCTGCATGTCTCCTGTGAAATGTAAAATACAGTTAGTTACCACTAACAATAAACAGCTCAATGTCCGTATGGGGTGGGGGTCGATACACACAGCTCACTATTAGCCAGCGTCGCCATATACGTGCGATGTGTAAAATTTGCGGTGACACACTGTAGAAAAAATTAACGATAATTGGCACTGATTATTTATAATACAAAAGCAGATCACCATTAATCAACTTCGTATGCTTTACGTACAGATTGCAGCAAAAACCGTTGCGCGATATTTTCCCCAGAAAAGGTTCAATTGGATCAAGCTTACCCTTGTGTTAAAATTATCAAAGTCGCTTAAATAGGGGCAAAGTTCCGTATTTAGGTAATTAACAAAATCCCGCTTAGAAAGTTTCGCAATTCAAAGTACTTCCGGAGAGAGAGATGTAAATAATCAAATTTTCTCAAAATCGTTTTAATTTTTACCTGGCTTTACTTGTAGCGGGATTTTAAAATAAGTTCCACATTAACACTGCCATTTTTTCTCCTCTACAAGATAGCACAATTAGAATTTCAATATGACGTTTTGTCTCTTGTTATCCAGTCACAACTTTACTTTTTCTTATGATCATGAATAGAGCTGTACTTTAGAGATAATCGTTATAAACGATTTGGTTATTTTACTTTGATGTCACCATATGTGGTCCCAACGGCCCAACTGCTTTCTACAATGTCAAAATTTCGTTTAAATATATCGTTACCGTCAAAAGTTATGTTTTGTAGGACTGGAAATGTTGACAATAAAATGTATGAAAATTATTATACTACATCTAAGATATATTTCACTTTTCTAATTTCTAGCTTATTATTTCAGTAATTTTTAGACCTATTTCAGTGAATCGAAGGTCTATTAATTCGATCATAAATTTTGAATTATTTGTATTGCTGTTTCAGACTCATTTAAATGCATACATACTATATGCTTCAAGGAGATATGATTAACAAAGTCAAAAAGCGTTTATATTATTTTATTCCTACCTGACTTGAAATGTAGTCATAATCATTAGCAGCAATTTTGCTAGAAGCGATTTTTGTATGCCATGCGACTTTTCTAAATATCGTACAAGAAACAACAAAATACGGCACTGTCTACCTGGCGTTGACGGATGCGTCGCAATTGAGTGTCACTTATCAATGTGGGGAATTTTTTAATATTACTAGATAAACAGATGCTACCGTAATGGATGCTCGTTAAAAAGGCAGTATCAGTATCTGGTGCTTACCTTCAAGCATTTGGGGTTTAAACACTGAAACAACGTATATTCCTCATCGATGGTGTTGGGGAAATTACAGAATGGACAGCTGTCAACTTTAAGTCCTGCCGCCCGAATCTCAGATTCCGTGTAACGCTGTGATAGTTTCGACAATAGTGTAGGTGGAAGCGCCGCCTAGACAAGAAATCAGAAAGAGGAGCTGAATACGAGTAAAAGAGGGAAAATAGTCAGAGAATAAAAAAATCTGTAGTTTTGTATTCCACCTTTTGATTTTTATGTATTCGAACTGAAGAGGCTTAATTCCATTTGCTATGGTTTTGGGTAACATCAAGATATCTAAGTAATTAGAGTATGAAAATATTGTACTATGCGCAATAGGTTCATTAAAAATATATAAATAGCAGAACTAAATTTCAATGAAACTAGTAGGCGAGTGTTTCAAACTGAAAAAATCATGACTATGTATGTCATCTATGTGTATGAGTGTCTTAGGTTTTTTCAAAAATAAAAATTTATTTGAGCTTGAGGTGCATACTGTTTATGATATAGTCAATGTTAATTATTCAATACATAGATTATCCTCCACATAAAAAAGCCCTATTTACATGTGTTTACAATTTTTCAATAATCTACCAAATCAAATCAAAAACAAAAACAGTTTCCATAAATTTGAAAATACCATTAAGCAATTTCTAGTACAGTAACTATACTTTGAAGTTGAGTCATTAATTTTCAGATAATGATTGTAGAAGGAAGATAAACCAAAATATGTGTGTAAAAATAAAAAAAAATTAAAAGAAAGATGTTACCTTGTTTTATAAAGTATCCTCCCGACAAGTATTTCAGTGCGGACCTGTATTTGATCGTGAGGTCTTGGAGCACCGGCATGCCCTCCCCTGTGAGGTCTTAGGTCACCTGATTCACGAGCCCTTTGTACTACATTAACAAAGGCACGAGGGGTTGGTTGCACTCGATTGGGAAACCGATCCGCATAAATCCGTGATGCCGCGTGAATAAGAATCATGTCCACAAGTTCAGCATTTTCGTAAACATGTGCCATTTTTGATTTCGTTTGAGCCACGCAACAGACACCACTATTCACTCATGCGTTACCGACTGACACTGACTGTATACAACTGAATAAAATAATTGTAAAAACATCGTTCCAAATTCTTTCGCTTTTTTGTTTCCGATGCGATGAACCGATAAGGCGGATTATATCCGTTGTTGCCAAACACGAGCACATAATATTATTATTGAGACAGGGCGGTACTCAAACTTCCAAAGGGCTATAACTTTGTTACTTTAATTTTACCAGAAAAATGGTAAAGGAAAAAAACATTTCTTTTGATCAGATCTACTCACTGTTAAAATAAATGACTCAACTTCGAAGTAGTTGTAACGGTGATAGTGGCGGAACATTTCATTTTGTAGTGACTATACAATTTCTATTATGCCATTGTACAATTTGAATAATAGATTATTATTATCCCGCAATATTACGCACCTGTTGATTATAGTAGTCACTTTTATTTCTCATATATTGGCGTATAAAACAAAATTGAATGTCGGTATTACAAATATGGTGGATGTGGTAACAAAAATTCATTCTGAAATAATCTTTATATAGGCGAACATTCCTAGTCAAGTTTCAATTCCATTTCAGTCTTTCGAATAGATTTAACCGAAGATCGAGTGGTGTACTGAGATTCATAATTATCTTCTAGTTAGTGCTAACTTAGCATCTTGTTACAATAAACAACACTGCCAACATTCAACAAAATTGGCTCAAGGATCTTTGAGATGTAAAAAAACAACATTTTTATAAAAGTTCGACACCTATCTACTTAAATAGGAATGCGCCCTGACTGCATCATTAAGATTGAGGCCTATCACTAAGTAACGCTCAGTAGAAAGAAAAATAATAACTCCTATGTACATTCTGCCAGAAATCTGTTTCAAGTAGGTTGACTCTATATCCCACATGCAATATTGCTTTGGTTCAATAATTTTCATATCGTGTTAGACTAAGCAATTAGCCTAACATGATCTAGTTGGTGAATTGCCTGGGAGGTGCAGAGACAAATTACTTGACACCATTTGTGCTGAGGCGGTTTTCGTTTACCTGCAGCGTTTTCCATGCAAATTGCGACCCACAGTCAGCCAAACACGGAAACTGAATGTCTCCCTCACCAAGTTTCAATTCGCAGCTCTTTCTGATGCATTCCCCACAAAAACAGCAATCGTTGTTACATGAATACACTTCTTCCGGGAATAGGTCGTCCGCGAAGCAGCATTGACACGAAACTGAAAAACCTAAATTATCGATTGCAAGTTTAATAGGGTCCATTTACGCCGTATGATAAGGTGGAAGAGCCTCGAAATTCGAGAGCCGCTTACCAGTGCCTCATTTAAGTTACTCAGGGTACCCACCACCTGTCAATACCGTTCCAGTGCTCTAGAGTGTCGTGCTCCTGAGCTACTCATTTTTTAAATCCCCTGCCCCCTCATGCATAATCAAAAATCTTGTGAATGGATCATTAACTAGGTGCAGATTTCATAGAGTGATGAATGAGAGATAAATGTGAGAAATTCTACTCGAACGTCAAATAAATCCCAGTATGGATAACGCGGATGAAGTTTACCTTGTTGGATACAAATTTGTTAGACATGGTTTCACTTTAATAAGTTTATCAAATAAATAATAAAAATTATCTCACTCGTATAGTAATTGCTAACAACAAAGGAGTACAAGCAGAAGAATTTTGAAGCAATGGCAAGACGAAGTTGTACATACAGGGTGGCCTTTATGTAACTGATTTGTATCTTGAATATTTTTTTCATCTTAATCTTTTATTGAAACTTAGAAATTATGTATGAAAAATAATATCAGACAAATGTCCACCTCAAGAAGTCTAAGCCCTCTTGATTACACTCCATCACTTCTTGGTAGGTTTCGGGAGGAATATATTCAACCGCTTCCGTATTATTGTTCTTCAGCTGCTCTACAGTATTTGATTTCTTGACATAAACCCAAGTTTTCAAAAATCCCCATAAAGAAAAGTGGTGGCCAGTTGACATCACCAAATCGAGAAATTAAACGTCCCCGAAATATTGTTCCCAGAAGATTCATTGTTCCCCTAGCTGTGTGACAAGTTGCTCCATCCTACTGGAACCACATGTTTTGCAGGTTAAATTGTTGAGAAAGTTTTGCACCATATAACGGTAGCGCTCGCCAGCGACAGTAAAAGAATTACCAACAGCGTCTTCAAAGAAGTAAGGTCCAATGACACCTGCTCATTCCAAACACCGCACCAAACTGTGACTCGACGAGGATATAGTGGTCGTTGATGGATGACACGAGGGCTGTCTAATGCCCAGATACGACAATTCTATTTATTAACAAATCCGTTCATATCGAAGTGGGCTTCATTGCTCATTATCGTTATTTTGGGTATTAAGCTGCAATATTGTCGGCGACTTTCATGGTCACTAGGCTGTAGCTCTTGAGTTAACTGAATTTTATATGGCCGCAAATGCAAGTCCTTTCATGAAATAGTGTATAGCTAGGTGCGAAAAATACCCAGATCTTGAGAACGATGTCTGGTAAACATCTCAAGGCGCAGAGTAATCGCTCGAACACTTTGGCGTTTGTTCAAATTTATGCACCAACTGACGAATGTTATTAACACTGGGCACATTATTTCGACCGATATCTTGTCGTAGCTTTCGAATCCTTGAAACAATCGACTCATTATTTAAGTAAAACGTTTCAACAATACGGACTCGTTGTGGGATCGTTTAGCGCTCCATGATGAATTGGACACATGTGCTTTGAGCAACTACCATGGCGCCACCTACTGATAATGGCGCGCAATTTAAATCAATCAGTTATATGTTGTCCACCCTGTATATTCGGACGAATTTGACACAATTACCACATTCTGCCAAGACATTTCATGATATATAGGACTAAATGGTTTCAATGAATTGAATTGTTGCAATACTAACCGTTTTCTTTTGCAATTTTTCTCCTATCCGTTTCTTCCTGTTGTTTCTTCAGCTTACAATCTAAAATATCAGTACGGTGCTCCAAGTAAGCAAGCTGAAAAGGTAAATAATTCAGTATGACGTCGAGAAAATTGAAGCGCAGATTCGGCATGTTGAAATATGATAAAAGTGCTTATGTAGATAGCAAAGACCTTTCTTAAATGTTTTGTTGGATCGTGTCGGCTTCGAGTTGTTCATCATGTACCTATACATACCTCTTGTAAAAGTCGAATGTCTTCGCCTGGATCAACCCTCATAGTTGTTGGTTTTCGACGGCACTTCATAACTTGCTCACCTGTTTGCTCTGCCTGCTGCAACTCTTCATCCACCTTAAGTAGACTTTTGCACTTTGGTTGCCTCCTACAAAACATGGAATTCATGCCGGTCCGGAATGGATGCGTTAGATTAAGCTCGTGAAAAAATATGCCTCAGTAAAATATCGCTCGTTAGTGGGATACAGGGTGTTGAATTTTAATTTTCAAAATTGGTTTTTGAGATATCAACATGAAATTTAGAAATCGGAGTTTTCTGAGGTCAAGGAATAAGGTTAGGTTGTATTTTTGAACCCTTGTAGAGGGTACTATTGTCTATTCAAACGTCACTTACTCCACGTCAAAACAAACATGAGCACTCTATCGAGATTCTGTTCGCTTGTCAGGACACCCTGTATATGATATTTTAAGATGGCGTACTGTGGGAGACTTGAAGATGAGGAATGCATTAATAAACCTTTGAATGTAGTTCTGATATGGTGGTTTTTGGTTTATTGAAATGATGACGAATAATACTTAAATGGAAATAAATAAGTCAAGCGAAAATCAGAGTTAGCAAAGATTTAATTATATTGATAATATTTTAACATGGGCATATAAGGCATTTTTTTTGTTCTTCCTCTCCTAAATTTACAGACATATACAGCTGATCTTTGTTTCTCAAAATCGCGAAAATATTCCACCCTTTATTTAAAGTCTCATCACTACAAACCGAAAGTACTACGAGCCCCTTCTCACTTCAGTTGGCCTACTTCAAGATTTGTACCAAAATATGCCTTTATATATATATATATATATATATATATTATATATATATATATATTATATATATATATATATATATACAGGGTGACAGGTAAATAGGTGTAAAACATTTTAGGAGGTGATAGTACAGCTCCTTTGCTATCAAAATTAGTATATAATACCATACCCTATATTCAAGGGTTAAAAAGTTATGGAAGATTTAATTTTTTTTAAAAAACAACCCAGATTACAGAGTAAAATAGTTGAGATAAAAAAATTGTTGGTGATTAAACATTCTTTTTTTGGTGGTTTCAGGTTATTATTTAAATAAATAATTTTCATAAATTAAAAAAACATATGAAAACACTACTGAAAACGTGTTTATTTTCATTTAAATGTTAAATGAAAATTTTTATTTTCAACTGTCACATTAAGAAATCTTTTTTTTTCAAAAAAATCATAATAAAGAAAATGTACAAATATCTGCAAAAACTTCCTCGTTTCATTAGGTTTCTAAAATGGTATGATAACATATCAGTAAGTAAACCATTTAACAAAACAATATTACTTTGCTAGAAAAGACCGCTAAGCGCATTTCATTGTACTGAGCAGGTAAACCGAGCCTTTCATGGTTCGACCCTTTTTGTTATTTTTTGTGCCCTGTGCCGTTATTCCGGTTTAAGTATTCGGAATCTGTCTTCGTTCCTCGGAAGCAAACTCTGCGTTTGTTATACTAAGTGACATATAAATCCGAACACCCAGTTTAAATGGTTTTATTTTAATAAAAGTTGGTGAATGTATTTATCTTACTGTAAATAACAAGTGAAAAAATTTTCAGCCTTATCAGTTGGACATTCCGGTTTTTATACTGCTTTTTTTTAATTCACTAACGCTCTAAAAATGAATATTTCAGCCGCAGTAAAGAATCAACCTTAGCGGATTTTGGTTCTTGACATCCTTTACGATCGGTTACGATGCCTAGAGTACGGAGACCTGTACGATTTTGTCAACTTAGTGAGTTTGATAGGGGCCGTATAGTGGGACTTCGGGAAGCTGGACTTTCTTTTCGGGCAATTGCAGTTAGAGTGCGAAGAAGTGTAGAGACTGTGGTTAGGTGTTGTCAGGCATGGCTTCGAGAAGGCCGTACACAAAGAGCAAGGGGCACTGGACGCCGCCGAGGAACAACAGACCGTGAAGATCGCCGCCTAAGATTACTGGCCTTAAGGGACCGTTTCTCCACTACCAGGTCCATTGCAAATGAATGGTTTGCAGAACACGGAAGACCTATTGGCATGCGAAGTGTTTACCGACGAATGAGAAGTTTTGGCTTGTTTTCATACCGGCCACACTGGGTCCTCCCTTTAACTCGAGAACACCGACGTAATCGCCTTGAGTGGTGCAGGCAACGGTCACTTTGGGATCAGGAATGGACCAGTATTGTCTAGTAGTAGTGACGAGTCTCGATTTTGTTTAGGCATGCACGATGGTCGTGCCAGGGTTAGAAGGCGACGTGGTGAAACTAGGAATCCATAGTTTTTTGTTGAAAGACATGTTCATCACCTTTAATCTTCATCAGAGGTAACATGAACGCGCAGCGTTATATCCACGAAGTTCTAGAACCGCATCTTTTACCCTATCTTGACACCCTGGCAGATCCAACTTTCCAACAAGATAATGCCCGACCACATGTTGCAAGAGTCACAATAGTCTTCTTTCAACATAATGAGGTCACATTGTTACCATGGCCACCAAGATCTCCCGACTTATCCCCAATTGAGCACGTGTGGGATATGATGGGTAGGAGATTGCTCAATTTGCAACGTCCTCCTCAGACTCTAGAAGCACTTCGAGAGGAGTTGGTGGTTGCCTGGAATGAGATACCACAGGAGGACATTGACCACCTGATCAGAAGCATGCCTAGGCGCGTTGGAGAATGCGTAGCACATCAGGGTGCATCCACACATTATTAAAGGTCAAAGGGCTTTAAAACAGTGCAATCATTTTGAAATTTTTATCATTTACTTATTATGCTTCATTAAGTACTTATACAAAATTTTATTAAAATAAAACCATTTAAACTGGGTGTTCGGATTTATATGTCACTTAGTATATGAATTGACACAGCTGACGGATCAAGGAAAGGGAACTAACGCTTAGGTTAGTTAGTAGAATATCACTCTTTAACGCGGTAGGACGTACTTTTACTTTTTTGATCAGTTTTAATAATGGCGAGTTACGTAACGAAGAATACGCTGATATTCTGTTTTGTTATGGTTTAAGTGATGGAAATTCCGTTGTAGCCAGGCGAGAATACGAAAACCGTTTTCCGAATCGGCGAATACCGAGTCATCGAGTATTTGCTTCTGTGTATCAACGCGTCAAGGAAAGTAGACAGGTTCATGAGAGACGTCATGATGCTGGTAGACCTCGGTTGTTTGACGACGAAGATCGAGAGGCAATACTGGAATGCTACGGCAGAGACCCGACGACGTCTACACGAGTTATAGCAAAGCAGCTTGGTTTAACTCAGTGGAAAGTTTGGTTCGTTTTGCATTCGGCGAGACTTTACCCTTTCCATTACACACCGGTTCAAGTATTAGAAGAAGGAGATCCCGCAAGAAGAATTGATTTTTGTCGATACATGCTTCATCGGGATCAAGAAGAAAACGACTATTTAACTAAAATATTGTGGACCGACGAGTCTAAGTTTGACAGAGAGGGACAACAAATTATCACAACTTACATTATTGGGCCCCACGAGAGGCAAATCCCCACATGGCAAAGCCAAGAGCCCATCAAAGAAGATTTTCGGCAAACGTGTGGATGGGAATCATTCATACGTATCTAATTGGACCAGTTTTTTTTCCTGACAACCTGAATGGCGAATCCTATGAAAACTTTTTGAGATCCGAACTCTGTCCCGCGCATTTCCGTCTGGGTGTTAGACAGTGGCTGGACGAGAAATATCCTTGTCGCTGGATTGGCCGAGGTGGACCGACACCGTGGCCAGCAAGGAGCCCAGATTTAACACCGAGTGACTATTATTTATGGCGGCACGTAAAGTCACTGGTGTACGCGGAGCCCATAGACACTCTTGCACAGTTGAAAGAAAGCATTATTGCTGCTGCTGACACTATCAGAGGACAACTAACTGGCCGCATCACGCGTACCAACATGAGAAGAAGACTACGGGCTTGCATAAGAAACGGCGGGCGTCAGTTCGAACAACAATTGCAATGAATTTTACCTTCATTTCATTATTGTATTTTACTTACCAATTGTAGTAACTTTTAGTCAGTTTTTATTATTCTGTAGTACAATTACAACTGTGTAAATAATCTAATCGTGTAACTTACATTATTTTCACAAAAACACTTTCTTATCAATCAGAGAGTGACAGTGAAAATAGGAGACAAGCCATTGGTAAATTTACTCCCTATTGTTGTATTACAATACATTATGTTTAGTTTCACACAGTTTTTGTGCACTTATCATACCAATTTAGATTCCTTATGAAACAAGGATATTATTTAAATTGTTTGTACGTTTTTTGGTATACTGATTTTTTTGTAAAACACGTTACTTATTGTAAAACGTTATTGTTTTTCTTAGTTAAATATTTTTGAATGAAAATAAATACGTTGTTTGGTATTGTTTTCGAATCTTTTTTAATTTATAATAGTTAATTATTGAAATAATAACCCAAAACCACAAAAAACAAATGTTTAATCGCCAACTTTTTTCTCTCTCGACTTTTTTACTCTGAAATATGGATTTTTAAAAAAATCTTAAATCATCAATAACTTTTCAACCTTTGAATATAGGGTGTGGTATTATATACTAATTTCGATAGCAAAGGGGCTGTACTATCACCTCCTAAAATGTTTTACACCTATTTACCTGTCACCCTGATATATATATATATATATATATATATATATATATTACCAATGAGTGTCGCTTGCGTCTATTTGCAATTGATAACAGTTTCAAGTCATTAAGCATATAAGATATTCGGCAAAACTTTTTAATACCAAAGATTGAAGGGCTTATTGTAACAACATGATAAGCCACACAACGACAAAAATCGGTTTTATTGCTCAATTTAGTTAAGCATGTATATGATAAGCCACACTAGAAAAGTTGTGACTATTTTCCTATAGATGGAGCCACTATGCCTTGAATCAAGTTAATACTATTACGCGGTTCTCCACAAGCTTCATGTTAAAACGTGATAAGCCACGTCAAAATGGCGAACGGTTCGTATGTGCCTCTCGATAATCATCCAATTTTAACGGGGCTTCTACAATCACGAGCACCATCTGCTGAGGTAACGGGGGGGTGAAAAGGAAACGATTGTGGGCTGGTCTTAGACGGTGGTCGGCGCTACTTTAAAAGAGGAAAGGATGACTGCGGGTGCCTACCGAGGTAAATTTTCATAATAACAGAGTCGGATCTCGATTAGGCCTGTAAATCGTTTCCTATTTTGGAACTCAGCTAGCGATCATTTAGTATTGTTCTACCCTTGTTACTGTTCGTCGATATTGTCTTGTTGAATTGTTGTGGTACTCTTGTTGGTGTGATTGTTCTTGAGTGAATTTTTTATCAAGGTTGATAATGGACAATAAAAGGTCATATGCGACTATTTTAATTACGAATTCAGTGAGTTTAATTCATGATGAATCGCAAAATACATTGGGGTAAGCGAATAAATTATTGCAAGAAGAGGTCATACCCTGGAAGATGTGCTGCAGCTGTAGTGAGTCACAATACCGAACGGCCTGTCTATGTGGTCCAAATACATTTTGTGGTTATGAAATTCAAATGAAAATGCAGGTATAAAATCTACCAAATGATCATTCTCAAAAACATATTTCCTTGACATATCGATAATTTTAAAGTTCCACGCTAAATTCCCCTATACTTGACTGGAGTGATATCTGAATTTATTCTTCCCTACTGTCGGTAGTTGCAGATCTGTTGGCTGTTGGTATCAAACCCATAGAGCGGGCACAGATTTTTTGAAATCGTGAGCACATTATTCGTCGGATTTTCGATACTTAAATTTCCTGTAATCACTGGGATTAGAAGCTTCTTAGTAATAGAACGTGTTTCACTGATTTCAACCCCCCTTTTTAAGCAGTACAATTTTTTTATGTCAATGATTAGGAACCCCTGAAACGTCAAAAACGGAGTTTCAGCAATTTTTACTTTATCTTTTTTGCCTACAGCACCGTCGCCACTGGACTAAAACTACATACCTACTAGTAATCGCGTGTGGAAATTTCATAAAAATCCGAGCGGTAATTTCCTAGTTGATGATGAGAGATACAGTTTTTCGTGATGTAGATGTCATATGACTTAAAAAAACATATATAACGTCTCATTTTAGCGATTACAATACTTCCTCGCCAAAATCGAGGAGTATCAGCGATCGTGATTATGAGTACCTATTTGCAGAACGACTTATCTACGCGATATTATATGAAATAGGGCCACCAAATTATCTGAATACGTCCTTTCTTAGTCCGTACGTTGCGCCGCAACGCTTGGTTTGGCAGCACGAAATAGTAGACAAAATTCGTCCAAAATACGATTTGTAGAGATTTGCGCGCTTAGAAATTGGCGCTTTATTTTTTGATATTTTTTGATGAAATTTTCACAGAATGCTGAAAACAAAACCCCACAGGGTGCTATAGAGCCACTTTTTCACTAGGTTCTTTTTAAAAAAATCGCCAAGTTGAACAGAAAAAGTGCGCACTTTAACCCATCATAAAACTTGTGCAAAAACAAAATTTCAAAAAGTTCTCCTATAGCACCCTGGGCAATTATCTTCTCGACATACTGTATGAATTTCATTCAAAAATATTGAAAAATGGAGTGTCAGTTTTGAAGCGGCTGAACCCTTGTAAACGGCTTGAAACTCACTGCGTCGGAGCCGCCTTAAGCGATATTTGCAGTTCAAGCAGTGAATCTTATGAATCAAGTGATGGTAGTGTGGTTGATAGGAATTTTATACCATCAAATGATGACGAAAGTTCAGATACAAGTGAAGTATGTATTATTTTTGTTTTTGTGGCTACCAATGTTTTAACATATCAAAACTGTCGCGAATTTGAACGTGGCTTATCATGTTGTTGCTATTAAGAATATTTAATTTTAGGAAGGCGATTCACCTGTACCTACTAAACTACACCCGAAAAAACTCCTCAAACTTGTTGGAGGCGAAGAAGGGACGAGAACTGTGAACGGGTGAAAAGGAAAAGACGACGCAATTTAGGGCAAGAATATTCAACAGTAAAGAGCAGGAAACTCATTAAGCTTCGAGAATTGGGTTCACTATGTAGATGCCAGAAGGACTGCAGAGAGAAGCTCAGTAATAGCCGTGAAAATATCTTCACAAAATTCTGGGATCTAGGTTCCTATGATCTTCAGAACAGTTACTTTTTGGTGCTATTCCAGTTCAAAAAAAGAAAAGATCTTACACGAAAAAACAAAAACGTCAAGAATCTAGCTCAATATATTGTAAATGTTGATGGTAGGGATGTCAGTGTATGTAAGGTCGAATTTATGAGTGTCCATGGTCTACAAGATTGTCGAGGCAGAATCGACCATATTGTCTAAATGAAGACAACCGGAGCAGCTGTTGTCCCTATAAAAGACCGACATGGTAAACATGAAAACAGACCAAAATATCAGAGCCACTATAGCAGAGCAAATAACACCAACAAAATGTATCTTAACTGCAATATGACCATAGCAAGCTTGTATAAGGATTATTATGTTCGGTGGTGTCAACAACAAAACATTATTCCAGTTAAACAAAGTACTTACCGCAAAATATTTTGCACGGAATATAATTTCGGTTTCAAGCTGCCCAAGTCTGACACGTGTAAAATATGTGACGAGTCAAAGATCAAGCTTGATATTGCTAAATCAAACAACGATGACAAAGAGGAACAAAGGCTGACTACTTTTTTGAATTCACACAAAATTAGATCTAAGGCTATGCAAGATTTGCTGAAATTAGAGACTGAACGATCAGAAAATACAACAAACGTATATGTTATCAGTTTTGACTTGCAGCAGACAATGCCTATACCTAAGCTTACAACAGGCCCAGCATTTTATTGCAGAAAAGTTTATCTCTACAACCTTGAAGTACACGATTGTACAGCTGAACAGGGTCACATGTTTTTATGGACAGAAAATCAAGCCAATCGTGGATCGGATGATGTTGCTTGTGTGCTTTTTAAGTTTCTTAAAGATAAAAAGGATGTAGGTCACCTCGTTGTATTCACGGTCAACTGTCCTGGTCAAAGCAAAAATTGCCTTCTTATGGCATTTTGGTTGCAATTAGTTAAAGAGACATGCTTTAAAACAATAACACATCATTTTCTTGTTACCGTGACTTCGCGTTAATTGAAAAACGACATAGAAAATATGCTCCTGAAGTTTATTCTCCAGAAGGTTGGCACAAAATCATCAACGATGCTAACAACAAGAATCCTTTGAAGGTCACAGTTATGCAGCCAGAAGATTTCTTCGGTTTTGAACTAGGTACTGTTGGCCAACGTATAAAAGAGAGACTTCTCTGGTGTATATACCTTCCATTTTAAAACAAAAAATACAAAATCATTTTTTGTCGAGCGAAGTGAATATTAGATACAAAAAAGGGTAGGCCTGTGAATACACGGTTATGTATGCTGAAAAATAAGTACATGGAACCAATAAAAATTTCAGAGAAGAAACTTAAAAATGTACAATCTCTTTTTCCATATACACCCCCAATACATCTACCCTTCTTCAATGGACTAAACTCCAGAGAAAGTGACGAAGAAGATGTTGAAATCTTATAGCAGAAAAGTGCGGTAGAGTTTAATTCTCATTTTCTTATAAAAATGTGACTGTATATTTTTATAGGCAATAACATGACAAGCCACATTGTTTTTGTAAATAATTTTTTTTTGGAAACGGATTTAATAGCCTCAAAAAAAATCATTCAAGTTTAATTATGATAAACGTTGATTTTACACATTTTTTCAAAACTTGAAAGTCAAATAACTCCGAATTATGTTTTTGTGGCTTACCGCGTTATTACAATAGGCCCTTCAATTTTAGGCAATATTTTTGAACGCGTCCTATCCGAGCCATATTCATTTTGTTCAAATAAAGGCTATACAAATCATCGCAGCGGTTAAAATGGCTTTGTACGAAATTATCTGATACACACACACACACACAAAAGAGGTGTTGAATACAACATACATGACCTTTAAACGTTAGTTTTGTATCTTTCTTCAGTTGATCAATAAGAATTTTCTCAAATATCTTCGATACTGTTTCGTATTAGACGCAACTCATCAAAGCTAGACGCATTGTCCTTTTTTGGCAATGGTAAAATTCGAGAAAACCTGCCACATGTGAGGAGGATGTGTTTTCCTATGCAGCAGTTAATTACGTGACACAAATATGAGCTATTATGATTAACCCTGTAAATATTTTACTTACTTAGATCCCTGATACAGCAAAAACGAGATGTGGCTCTTGTAGATGGATGGGTACCTATTCATGAAGAAACGTTCAACATAATCTGCGGTTGTCAAATCAAGAACGTCTTCCCCTCGCTCCGGATTGCGGAATGTCTCTTCTGGATTCGGAAACATTGCCAAGAACTCCTCTATGTTGAAACCGCTGGTGTATTTCTTCACTTGCGACTTTATCGAAGTACCCCTATAAGCGTAATGTACTGAGAAATCTCAAACATAAATATCTTATAGTGGGTGATTTAAAAGCAGTGAGAAAATAAATAAATGTCAACTGACAGTGAAGTAAGTAAACAGTCTTTTGTTTCCAAAGGCAAATTCATATTATTTTGTGTTTGTTAAAATTAAATCCATTGAATTTTGTGCGAAAACTTTTAGGGCATACGTCATGCGGAACATTTACACGCGATCGATGCCACTGTGGTTCAAAGGTCCTAAAATATGACCAAAGTTAGAAAGATCCACGTAGTTGTACAATAAATCTATTCTACGTTTTCCAGAGCGCTGATAACGAATATGATACCCATTTGTCAAAGACTTTCTACTCTAAAGTGTATCTAACGAAGCTACAAAGTAATCGTAAACAGTGGTTGATTCGTGATCAACGCGTGATCGGTAGTCATGGCGCTCTGTCGGCCTCTTCCTGATTGGCTTGTAGCGACGAGCCTCCAGACTAAGTCGCACGGTTGCCACGCTCGGCGAGTTTTCGCCAGAGTGGTTGATCACATTCGCATGGATCACAAATCAATCTGTTGGTGCAATACGTGCAATAACTGTTGTAAAGGACATTATATAACAATAAATGGCATCACAAAGGTATATTCCAATTTGATCTGCAGCAAATTATGAACGGCATATACATTTTTCCTAAGAGTGAGGGAATTTTTTTCTATTGTCTTATTTTTCACATTAATGCGATGTCGAGGTATGTGGCCCTATCGCAATTGAAAATAAGGTTTCGATAATCCTTCCATAAAGTTTCGATGAGTACATCTGAAATAACCTTGAGATATTCTTCAGGGAAATACAAAAATCTCCTTTTGTGTTTTTTTGTGCAGATTTATCTATTAAAATCCTATCCGCAATCTATTTTCCGTGCACACACCTTCAACCGAATGTATGCCATATATGATATTACCGTTTCCAACTTTCACCAAGGTTAATAGGAACCATAACAGCTCCCTACCCTTCCCCCCTATAAGAATATCGATTTGTAGCCTCACATTTCAAGGTTAGACTTCTTGTAATGTTTCTGTTCAACATTCGGCGATTTCTGACAATTTTCCCAATAAAACATGATCATTGTGACATTAAGCCTGGCAACGCTGCATAGTAGAGGGAACTCTCAGCGTCACGTTGATGGTTCGTCACCACGCACAGGATTGTAATCAGTTACGGATACCCGTTTATGAGCGCGAACGTTTTATGCACGTCTTGACTTGATTTTTCTTGCGGAAATTTAATATTAGTCTAAAATGTCTGACACAGATACAGCTGATGAAGTGGTTGAAATCAGCTTAACGTCACCCAGAAAAAGGGCTAAAAAGCTTCATCTTAGCGCAGGTGAAAAACAAATTATTCTAAATATCTACAAGAACCAGATGCAAGAGAATAGTGGATTGGCTATAGAAAATATCGTATGTAAGGTTGCTGAAATTTCTGGAGTAAGTCGATCAAGTGTTTACAAAATCTTGAAGGAATATAGACAAAATCACTCACTATCTGAGCCAAAAACATATCCAGCGAGAAAAAAAATCATCGAAAAAATAGATGACTTTGACAAAAGTGCCATTAGAAGAAAAGTACATCACTTTTCTTCAGGAATGAAATACCTACAATAGATAAAATATTGAAGCAAGTGAATGATGATGAGGACCAGCCAAATTTTAAAAGATCTACGTTCCGTAAGCTGTTGAAAGAACTAGACTTTCGATTTTTGAAAAGAGGAAGGAATAGTTTATTGATAGAAAAGGAGGACATTGTTATCTGGAGGAGAGAATACCTTAGAAAAATTAGGCAATTCCGCGCCGAAGGAAGAAAAATTTATTATTTAGACGAAACATGGGTGAACGCGGGGCATACGCAGGGAAAGGTTTGGGTAGACAGATCTGTGAGGTCCTCAAGGCAGGCTTTTTTAGATGGCCTTTCGACGGGATTGTAAAATGCTGCAGGTAAGTTTCGAAGTATATGAACTTTTTTGGATGCAGATAATTCATTTTCTGATCGAATCAATGATTTGGAAGCTCCGAACTCAGTTTTGCTATCTCATCCAAGTTTCTGAGTATTTCCTTCACCCAAAAACTAATCTAAGACCCTATCCTACACTAACTTAAAAAGAGTAAGTTACTTAATTTCGTCATTTAGTGCGCTCGCTGAGAAGTAAAGTAACTAATTACTTTCAGGCAAGGGAAAACGCCTGATCATTTGCCACATAGGTAGCGTAGATGGATTTGTTCCTGAAGCATTGTGGGCATTTGAATCCAAAAAAACTGGAGACTATCACGAAGAAATGGATGGTAACTCATTTGAAAATTGGTTCAAAAAAATTTTGCCGACACTTGATGATAACGCAATTATTGTGATGGATAATGCCCCGTACCACTCCAGAAAATTGGAAAAAATTCCAACAATGGCCACCAAAAAGGCACACATTCAACAGTGGCTTGTCTCAAAGAAGATCGACTTCGACCAAACAATGGTCAAAGCTGAGCTGATAAATATAGTCAAGCGACATAAGTATAAATATGATTTAAAAATTGTTGACGAAATGGCCAAAAACCAAAATAAAACGATTCTCAGGCTGCCTCCCTATCACTGCGAACTGAATCCTATCGAGTTGATTTGGGCCGACATCAAGCAATACGTGGCGTCAAATAACAGCACTTTTAAGTTTTCTGACCTTAAAAAACTGTTTGATGTTGCTGTCGATAGAATTACGCCAGCAAAATGGAGAACATGTATTGACCATGTCCAAGAGAAGGTTGAAACCAAAATGTGGGATATGGACAATATCATTGACACCCAAGTTGAACCCCTTATAATTGACATCAACAATTCTGATGATTCAAGCTCCTCGGAATACAGCATATAAATCGATTGATACCATTAAGACTGGCAGTTTAACGGGCTTTTTGGCAAGACAGGTAAGTTCATTATAGACTGCAATCAAAGTGTAAGTTTCTAGTTATTAATGTGTAATTTTAATAGCAATCAAACTAACAAACTTTATGGAGTCTGTAATAAACTTTTGTACTACTACTACGTCTGTAGTTTCTATTTGCTCAAAAAAATTTGCTCTGCATTGTGAATAGAAGGTTGATTTGTAAAAATTATTGGGTATATATGTAAGTTAATAATAAAATATGAACAATTTCAATTGAGATGGTCCACAAGTTTTTTTCGTGTGCGTTTTAGTAACATTTTGCTGAAATGGTGAATACAGAATTTTTTGCACTGATTCCTAATGTCGAAATATGATTAGAAAGGCGTGGTATATTTCTGATAATTTACTATGCTTTTGATAGAATTTACAGCAACACATATCTTGTACGACATTTTTTGATAGATCAGTCACAATAGCTTGATACGGCACTGTAGCGTCTCCTACGGTTAAGTTCTTGATCACGTGCAATACGGGTGTATATGTTTGATTTTACTTTGTTTCTTCGATGGATACAGTTTAGAAATATTGCCCTGTAGAAAAACAATAGCGTTAGAGTAAAGGTGCCGCTGTCACTGTAATACTCAAGCCTAATTTCGACGGTGTATGAAGGAGCAATACAAGTCACAACGTACGTACTTCTTATTGCTTAACGTGCTTGATTAGACTTCAATATTTCACAGCATAGTTGTGACTGTGGCATACTTTCTGCATCAGTGCTATGTTCTAGTCAAGTGAATCGGCATCAGGCCATCTTCTAGAAAATTATGTTTTTTTAAATAGCATCCATGTCGTGTGATTTTTCAGAGCTTCGAAGTGCCACGGTTTTTTCTACGCCAACTAGGCTCGCACCGAATATCTTTTCCACAACTTTGCGACGCTAAGAGTCTAATCTATTCTTTACGAGTCTGATTTGAACATAATTCGTGCATTCTTTCACTCAAATTGAGCATACCTACTTACCGTTTTTGATGTCCTACTCCTGAAGTTGAAGGTTGTTCTGTTTCAGGCATAAGTGCTCTTGATTCTTCAACTTCCGCTTTGCGCTGCTCATCGACCTCAATTGCTTAAAATATCAAAGGTTATGAATTTGGTTTCATCAACATTTTTCTAATATTGCCTAAATTTAAACTAAATATGTTTTGCGAGCTTAAAAGTTATCAATATTTTGCATTGAAACAAGCAATACATGATATAAATACGAGCAGCGCTACCTTCAACTAATTGAAGGTGGCGCTGATACGAGCAAAGTTCTTTTATGCACCCCTATTTAGTTTTCCAAGAATGTTTTAATTATTCAATTCCTTCAACCTATAGGCTGGTTCACTCAGAGGAAATAAAAACTACCTCATTGCCAAATCAAGTTAAAGAAATTATTTTTTTTGGGTGTAGGACTTCTAATGTCACAGTATAACTTTTTGTTATTTAGATTCAGCCCAGATTCGGGAGAAAATCACAAAAACTAAAAAATCTAATTTTTTCTGTCGCCCATACATATGCAATAGGATGAAATTAGCTGCATTTTGAGTCACCTATCACGTCCCTGAGAGAATATGACGAACTACCAGTAATCTCGTATACCTTACCTGACAACTGAATGACCATCTGAACAGTGTCCCTACGGCAGCTAGCCGCAACCTTCCGTATTACCCTGACACTTAATTTTGGAAAAGCATCAGTGAGTCTGGCTACTATATCCTCGAAATCTAGAAATAATAAGGCTATCAGCTTTGGGGAAATGTAGGTAAAGGGCCTAGTAGGTTGTATTAGCAACCTCTCGGATTCAAGTAGGTAGAACAAAAAATGATACACACTTCTACCCTAAGAGATATTCATTGTTAGCAAGGAAAACAACAATGACAAATTTATTTATTTTTACTCTGAAACTGATAAATCTGAGCAATGATTGACATAAAAAGATGCCCAGCGATATGGTGTATTTGGGCGTTCACTTACAATTGCCATCGTCCAAGTCATGTTGCCAGTGAAATCACAGTAATTTATTTATTTAATGAAAAATACACCAACTCAACAGGCAAATCTCTAATTACAGGGCAGGTAATAAACAATATGCAAAATAAATAATTTCATATGAAACTCGACGATTCACAGAAACTAAAACATGCACATTGTTTACCATACTGCGAACAGTGACCTATTATAAACGGAGAAGCTCAAACGAAACATTTTCGTTAGAAAGACTTTACCCTACTAACAAAATGTGTCTCCTTAAATCTCTAATATCGGGTTCGCTGCTCACTGTCCTGCCGTGAATAATTCCACGGCAGCATTTGGAACAAGTGACTGTTTACATGCAGCCACCCTACTAACCGCACTATTCTCCAGCAATAATGGAGGACGTAGAAATTGTCGCGGCGGAAACTATACGTATAATAATGTTCCATTGCATCAAATGCAAACCAAATGGGCTGACACACCCCATCTGCACCCGCTCCAGACCTAATCCAAGCGTTTTTCTTTTTTAATAGAGGCCGAAATGTTGCCATTAGCGTTTTTTCGACTTCACCTCTTGTATTGGGATGTTTTTTAATCCTTCGCTTATCCGTGTTCACGCATCATGTACTTTATGTTTTTTTTTGTGATCATTATGTGAAGCATCCCATAATAATCATTCAGTCACATATAGCTCTAAAAAATTCAATACTTGATCACTGCTCCACTCAATCATGGTTCAAGTGTATTTTAAAACGAATAATTTGCCAAAAAAGGAATAAAGTAGGTTAAGATATCACGCGTCCACGTGGTAAGGGCAGGACTGACTGTTGGTACAGCGGGCAGCATGTAGACCATTGATTCCCAAAGTGGTCTATATCGACCCCTAGGGGTCTATGACAACGTGCAAGGGGTCTACGTCAGCGAAAAAAAATTTGGGGGTCCATGAAATGAATATGGGGGTCCACGATAGTGGATCTCAACACATACACTGATAGTACCTATTTACTTACATCATACTATCTTATAACATCAAAACATATACATTATTTATAAAAGTACCTATGAAGTAAAAAAATTATTATATATGTTTATAAAATTGTGTAAGTTGTAGGATGTTGGTATTCGCTTTGTGGTCGCAATACATTTTGAACTTGTAAAAACCTGAGAGTCTCAGAGCTTCGCTACCTTGCACTGACTTGTTCAATTCGTCACTCTATAAATACGAATGTGGGACAAATACGCTTATTCATTTCCTGAATCTTGAAAGGGAAAGTGCTAAGAAAATATTTTAAAAAATATAAACAGATAGTATATCACACAAATTATAGTGAGTCAGTGTTATTTTGTTTGAGAGTGCTGGAGAAAAGCAAGTACATTATTTTTTATTAAATTTTAGTTTTGTACTCGTAGTTATCAAAGATAGATAAATTACGCCAATCATGACTTTAGTTATTAGTAGTTAAATATTCAATCATGCAAAATTACACGAGTACTCCTCAATAGTTTCTTTTTGAAAGTTTTAGCAATCGGTAATTAAAATTACAGTGCAATCTCCGTAATTCGAGCTAATTGTTGCAAGAAGATGTTCGAATTATGGAATGTTTTCGGAAAAATCAAAAAATATTTTTAATATACAGCTGCTGGATTTTTTGTCTTATTTAAATAATTTAATTTTGCCCACAGATGACTGATGCCATGTCCGAATCTAAAAAGAAATGTAGACAGTACAGTGTTGATTATTTGAAATTTGGCTTCATTCCATCATTGCCGGACAAACAATCGCCTATGTGCCTTTTATGCAACAAAGTTTTCGGCAATGACGCTATGAAACCATCTAAACTGCAAGATCATCTGAGAAGATGCCACCCTGATAAAACAGAGAAAGATTTGAAATACTGTCAAACACTCAAAGATGAATTTCAGAAGAGACCTACACTGGACAGAATGTTCGCTTCGACGTCACAAAAAAATGATGATGGTTTGCGGGCGTCTTACAATATCTCGTCACTTATAGCAAAATCCGGAAAACCGCATACTATCGGAGAGAAGTTAATTTTGCCAGCCGTTGAAGAGGTTTTAAAAACTGTTTTACACAAACCTGCATCTGATATCATTAAAAGAATTAACGAATTTTCTTAAGCAACAATACTATTGAAAGACGTATTGATGAAATGAGTTCTGATATTGAAAGCTTCTTATGTAATTATTTGCAAACGACCCATTTCTCTATACAACTGGACGAGTCAACTTTACCTGGTAATGCAGCATTATTATTGGCATATGTTCGTTTTATTATGAATCAAGAAATCTACGAAGAACTGCTCTTCGCAAGAACTTTGATAACCGACACTAAAGGTGAATCAATATTTCATATTTTGAAGGATTACTTCATTGAAAAAGCAATTCCTTTATCAAATATAATATCAGTAGCTACAGATGGAGCACCTGCCATGGTTGGTCGTTATCGTGGATTTATAAGCTATTTAAAACAAAATGTGTCAGGGGTGTTAGCAATACATTGCGTCATCCATCGACAACATTTAGTTGCTAAAAATTTTAGTGTTAGATTGCATGAATCACTTCATTTAGTCATTGATGCAGTAAACCGAATCAGAAGCAACGCGTTGAATACGCGGTTATTTGCGTAGTTGTGTGAAGAAAATGACGAACACTTTCATCAATTACTCCTTCACACTGAAGTACGCTGGCTGTCGAAAGGCTTATGTTTGACAAGATTTTTTGCACTTTTTGAGACTATTTTAGAATTTCTGGATACTAAAGATAAAATTTTAAAAGAAAATTTAATGAAGAGGAAAACAGACATCGCCTATTTAACAGATTTGTTTACAAAATATAATATGGTTAATTTGCAATTACAAGGCGACAGTTTAAATTTGATTAAAACAAAGTCCATCTTATCAGCGTTTCTTGCCAGAGTTAAACTAATGAAGCAAAATATTGGACGGGGCGAATTTTCTCAGTTCCCCAATTTGTTACAGACAAGCTGCCAGGAAGACGACGTTTCAACTTACGTTCAACATTTAAACTATGGTAATACCACCGTGGATAATTAATCCATATGGTGACATAGAAGAAACGAATGTCATAATGCAAGAGGAACTGACTGAACTAAGTACAAACGAAGAACTTAAGGTTCAGTTTAAAAACGGATATCAGCAATTCTGGCTGCAAAACAACATACCCGTTACTTATCCGGTATTATGGAATATAGCGAGGAAATTTTTAATTTTCTTTCCATCGTCATACCTAGTGGAAAGGGGGTTCAGCGCTGTTACCAATCTCCTAACGAAAAACAGAAACAGACTGGAAATCATTAGCCGAGGAGATTTAAGATTAACCCTTACAAAATTGACGCCAAATGTTGACAATTTATTATTAAAGCATTAGGTTCATTCTTCTCACTGAAAATATTGACTTATTGCTTATTTTATTTATAGTTTATTTTATGTTTATTGGTGTCTGACCAATAAATGCTCGCATTGGGAATAAGTGCACGCATTGATTTTTTTAAAGAACCCCCCTTTATAGAAAATATTTTTTTTTAAATTATTCTGAAAATTCAAGGATACACACTAAAATTCGTTAATTTTTTGCCTATTTTTAGATAACTTAAACGTATAAGAAGCGGAATTTAATCAAAGTAACAGTGAAATTATTGTAGAACATACGTTTATGTTATAATTAATAAACGAACTCGCTTGTTGTACTATTTTAAGTAAAAAACTTTTTTTTTAATTATTTTTCACTTTTTTTATTTTATCCCTCTTATTTTTTTTCAATGCGGGCACTTATTCCCAATGCGGGCACTTATTGGTCAGACACCTGTTTATTTAATGTTACGTATATTTTACATAACAGATACAAAATTTTATTTTTAGTAGTTTTAATTTAATTTCAATTAATAAATGTATAAATTAACATGTGTTTTTACTTGCTGCTGGTGCTTTGACTTCCTTCCAAAAAACCTCGAACTAAGGGAGCATGCGGCAGCGGCAGCGGCATGAGCACTGGCAATGCGAGCTGCGTATTTACATACTCGCATTGCCCACTTCCCTGCCCAATTCCCTGCTCACTGCCGTGGAAGTGGGCTGCATGTAAACCCGGTATATGATATATTGTGAGCAAATTACATATAAAAGCAATGACAGTAAATTGATACGAGGGAAGGGAAGAGAGAAAAGGTAGTTGATAAATCGAGTTCGCAAAGTACCAAGCGCAAAAGACATTTACTTTGGAAAATTCATACAATGATAAATTATGTTGTGCTGATCAAATAGTCCAATGGGCGCAAAGTCCAGAAATGCTATCTGTTGGAGACACAGGATATTAAAGTTTGGTGCCTTAGGGCCGTATCGTCAGTCGATCCTATAATTGTACGACCTCCTTGATTTTCATAGTTCTTCCTGTTTTTCAGAAAAGCTGGGGTATTTCTAGGTATACATTGTATTAGCATTCTATTTTAAGGTTATATTTTCTTTTTGAATTCTAAGAAATTTCAGGCTCATACAACTTGATTTTTATCATCTGTCTTATTAGCCGGAAATTTTTCAATATTCGAAAAGAATACATAACCTCATAATCTAGACTATCGACGAACTATACGGGCCTTAGCCGCTGTGGGCGAACTGTGGACGAGTCGGCACCATTTTACAAAAACTAACTCGTCTTTATTATGTTCAAGGAGCTTAATAGAAACTATTTGAACACTTCCAATATATACAGGGTAAAGAAAATGGAAGGCTCTTAAATAGAAGAGCTATCAGACATTCGAAAATGGTTTGCGCAAAAAGATTGAGATGTTATTGGCGTGTATTTCTAACTGATTTGAAAATATACAGAATGTTGCGTAATTCCGCGTGCCACAGCAAACATGTTTTTTAACGAAACACCCTATATTATATTGAAAGACATTCCGAAAACGAGAAGATTGATATAATATACTGAAAGACTTTGATCGTCATTTGTTTAGTTATTTTGTCATTTATCTAAAAAAATGCCTATTCTTGAAGGCTTTGACTTCTGCCATTTTGCTTAGTATTTCACTGAATTTCGGGAAGAGAAGAGAAATACTAAATGGAACATTCCGTATATTTTTACACCACCAGGGTTCACGTCTTTATAAGTATTTCCTGGTATCAGGCTTAATACTACTTTATAAGAATGGTTATAATAATAATAATAATATTTATTTACTCAATATACAAAGATAACAAACAATATGAGTAAATAAATATAAAATCAAAACAGGCCCAATAGAAGGCATCGCCTGTACATGGACCAATAATTTAAGTTGAAACTGCAGAATGCAAATGACAAAAAAGGACAAAAATTAGCTACAGTAGATTATGTATTTAGTTGATGTTCGTATTTATGAGTTTATGAATTTCAGTCCTAGATATAGAATGTAGCCACTTTTTTAAATTTCTTTTGAAACAATTTCCGAAACGTAAATCTTTTAAGTCTTTAGGTATAATTTCATAAAATTTAGGCGCTAAATAGAGATATGATCGCTGCATTATAGATTTATGCGGTTGAGGAACTACTGTGCCACGAATTTTGTACCTGGTATAATGATTATGTTTGATTTTTTGGTCGGTGCTTACAAATTTATGGTAGTGAGTGATACTGTGTAAGAAATAAAGCTGTCTTATATCATACATTCGAACATCTGCATATAATTTTTCAGTGGGATAAAGTTTCGGTTTTTTAAATATCATTTTTAGAATACTTTTTTGAAAAACATCTAAATTATAGATATGTGAGGAACATGCAGCTCCCCATGCTAAAATATACCATATGTGAGATGAGGCTCAATCAGTGCATGGTATAATGTTCGAAGATATTTTTCTGTCAATATATTCCCAAGGTATTTAATTTAAAGGATACAAATCTAACTTTCTTTAAAATATAATTGACATGGATGTCCCATCGTAAGTGAGGATCCAAGACCACTCCAAGGTATTTTATGTTGGGCACTCTATTAATTTGCATTTTTTGATCATTAATATTGAAGGAGAAATTTGTGTAATTTGGCAGATGTCTAGCATAAGATCCAAATTATCTGAATATACATAATAAAAGATAAAGTGTTTCATTAAAAAGCATTTTCGTACTAACTTGTATATCTCCAAATAATTAAAAAATAGACACCTATAAGATATAAATTATTGTTACATTAGCAACAAGTGCCAAAACCTGCACTTTGCCTCGGTTTTCGGTCATAACTTTTCTGATATTAGTGGCATCTTTTTACATGTGGCCCTAATCTATAGGTCTCAGGGATACATAAAAATCTTATTTGGAGAGCTTTTTCGTTCCTGCCAACACTATTTCGGGAAAATTTGCTAATGTGGTTAGACTAAGACTGGTTCCACTTAACTTGACGAACGTTACCTGCTTCGAGGGCTGACCCGGTATTGTCGATGATGGGTGAAGGTGGATGGAAAATGTACTGGTCGTAGTTACATAAATGCAAAAATGTACTCCATTTAACCGACTTCGTATCTGTTTCCGTTACCGAGACCCCACTATCGACATTCGAATTTCAAATAACCGGTAAAGGCTACGTTAAACATAATCTCACATGGATCCGAGAGATTAATCATACATTATGAAACTGTTTTGTCTATCTGCAAACTTACCTGTAACGTGCTCATCGTGGTCCACAACTGCTTCAGCCATCTTAAAAACGCTGAAAAGGATATTTTTTGCAATTAATGTTTTTTATGATCTTCTCAAAGCTACTTAGATAAAACATAATATGAATGCATCCTAAAGGTGCTCGAGAAAGACACCGCTGCGACCTTATGGAGAATGACTTTCAGTGTATTTGTTATTAGGGCTTGTGGCGGGATGGGGAGGGTATATCTCATTTTTTTGATGTTAGTGTATTTATACGCTCCGAACCTTGGCGGACTTATTAGATACATTTCACACATATATTTCTCCGCCCTTAATGGCCTATTCAGACTCAGCCGGGACGTGTCAGTGCTGTGACCGGCACGTGATCCCCCAGGCGAAACTAAAAACATTCTTCCTGGAATTTGGATGAACTGATTCACACTAGACCGGCACGTGGAAGTGGCCGTGCCGTACCGTGATCATCGCATTGTTTTGGAACAATATTTTTCGTTTTTCACGGTCGTGTTTTTAAGTAATTTCGTGAATATTTTGATATAATTGGTGATGAAAATTTTGCCATCTCGACCTCACGTGAACACATCTGCACTGTCAGAGCACGGAGAAAAATGCTGACCGATGTGAATTGAAAACACTGTGAGCTCACCGCAGTGAGAATCACTGGCACGTCACGGCTGAGTGTGAATAGACCTTAAGTCTTATAAAAATACTCTCAGCAGACGGATCTCGTACTTACAGGCCGCGTTTGCCCCTGCTCCAGACGTTGCCTGATGAACTACCGGTAAGGCCGAGAAATAATAATTAATAAACTAATAGTATGAACCTGTTTAACTGACTTGTTAACACGCTTTATAAGCTTTTCCTGTATGTATACAGGGTGTCCCAGAAGTCGACGTCAAGCCGAAACCGGGTGATAGGCAAAGTCATAACAGCTATCAGAAGAACATTTAAAAAAAATTTATGTATGTGTTTTGAAAATTATAGGTCTTTGAAAAAAATATAGAAATTTCATACCCTACGGCAGTCTGTCAACTCCTGTTACTACAAATATTAACTTTTTTTGGATTTTATTTTTACAATGTAATGATGAATAATGCATCTTCAAACTGGTGTTTCAACCTTACTGCCAACTTTTCTCGTTCAGGAAAAATTGCCACTTATTTCCCAACCAAGTATTCCAAAGTAGAACTTTGCTCAACTTTAACTGGCTGTACTGGAAAAAAATGTACTACGAGAGTTTGGCAAGTAACCTTAAAAGTTGGCGCATTTAATAAGGATTCCAAAATGGTATAACACTTAGAACATTACTCGTTAAAACTGATAAAAATTTTTCAAAATTTCCTAATTAAACAGCGATTATGAAAACGCACAAGGACCCTTAAGGATAACTGTTTGCACAACAGTGGGCGTCAAAATGCTGATGATGATGATTTACCTTTACAGCAAATGCTCAAACTGTTTTCCTTCAGCCGCAATACACGCTCGACATCTTCTTAAAAGAGATCGGGTTATTAAACGAGCGAATCCACGGTTATTAACAAACTCAGCTGCTTCCAATACTCTTTGCCGTAGCTCAGCTACATTTTGAATCGGCTTGAAATACACTTTTTCTTTTACAGTTCCCCAGTAAAAAAATCTAAAGGATTCAAATCAGGTGATCGGGCTGGCCACGGTATTGTACCAGACCGCCTTATCCATTTGCCTGGAAAGTTTTGATCGAGATACTCTCTCACTGAGAGTGCATAGTGCGCTGGGCAGCCATCATGCTGAAACCACATGTCCCTGTAAATACTCAGTGGCACGTCCACCAATAAATTTTGTACATGATTTTTCAAAAAATCCAAGTAAACTTCAGCAGTCAAAGTCTCTGGGAACTCAAACGGACCGATTATTTTACCATTTAAAATTCCTGTCCAATGGTTTATCTTGAAGCGATATTGAGATTTATCTTCTCTCATCAAATGTGGGTTTGCTACGTGCCACTCGTCTAAGTTATGCAGGTTCATGTAGCCATCTTTCCTAAATGTGGTCTCATCCGACCATAAAATTTTTTCAAAGAACTGTGGATCTTTCCTGTGTCTTTCTAGCATTGTGCGACAAAAAGCAACTCGGGGCTCATAATCCCGGGGCAGGAGAGGTTGAACACGCTGTATGTGGTATGGATGAAGCACATCACTTACTTGCTATTGCACACTTTGATACCGATCAGTACTCCTTCGTTTATTGCGCATCTTTACATGTTCGTGCTTGTTGATTTCGTACTGTTACTAATTTTGGATTCGTGAACTGGACTGTTGATCGCTTGTGATTTGGATTTGGACTGTTTAATTGCTCTTCAAAACAACATTTGCTTTCCTTAGACTATATTTGATAGTGTGATTGGGCAGTGCCGCTATGTCCGTGTACACCGTACAAGAATATGCTAACATGCACCTCATTTATGGGGAATGCAGATGCAACGCTAGTGCTGCAGCGAGACTTTACTGTGAGAGGTACCCGAATGCAGCTCGTCATCCAGATCATCGGGTGTTCACAAATGTGAAACACTTACTGTTCTCAGAGGGCCAACTACCAAACCAATCACACGGTGAGGGAAGATGTTTCCTTCCTTACGAAGACGTGGTGCTAGGAGCTGTCGAAGAAGACCCGAGTACTTCAGTGCGTGCAATAGAACTAAAAACAGGTGTGCCCAAAAGTACAGCCCATAGAATCTTGCAAAAAAACGTGCTCCATCTATACCACGTACAGCGTGTTCAAGCTCTTCTGCCCCGGGATTATGAGCCCCGAGTTGCTTTTTGTCGCACAATGTTAGAAAGACACAGGGAAGATCCACGGTTCTTTGAAAAAATTTTATGGTCAGATGAGACCACATTTAAGAAAGATGGATACATGAACCTGCATTACACGAGTGGCACGTAGCAAACCCACATTTGATGAGAGAAGATAAATCTCAATATCGCTTCAAGATAAACCATTAGACAGGAATTTTAAATCGTAAAATAATCGGTCCGTTTGAGTTCCCAGAGACTTTGCCTGCTGAGGTTTATTTAGATTTTTTGCAAAATCGTTTAGAAAATTTATTGGAGGACGTGCCACTCAGCTGAGTTTGTTAATAACCGTGGATTCGCTCGTTTAATAACCCGATCTTTTTTAAGAAGATGTCGAGCGTGTATTGCGGCTGAAGGAAAACAGTTTGAGCATTTGCTGTAAAGGTAAATCATCATCATCAGCATTTTGACGCCCACTGTTGTGCAAACAGTTATCCTTAAGGGTCCTTATGCGTTTTCACAATCGCTGTTTAATTAGGAAATTTTGAAAAATAATCATCAGTTTTTCTTCAAATAAAAATTGTGCATAAGTTAACGAGTAATCTTCTAAGTGTTATACCATTTTGGAATCCTTATTAAATGCGCCAACTTTTAAGGTTACTTGCCAAACTCTCGTAGTACATTTTTTCCAGTACAGCCAGTTAAAGTTGAGCAAAGTTCTACTTTGGAATACTTGGTTGGGAAATAAGTGGCAATTTTTTCTGAACGAGAAAAGTTGGCAGTAAGGTTGAGACACCAATTTGAAGATGCATTATTCATCATTACATTGTAAAAATAAAAACCAAAAAAGTTAATATTTGTAGTAACAGGAGTTGACAGACTGCCGTAGGGTGTGAAATTTCTATATTTTTTTCTAAGACCTATAATTTTCAAAACACATACATAAAATTTTTTTAAATATTTTTCTGATAGCTGTTATGACTTTGCCTATCACCCGGTTTCGGCTTGACGTCGACTTCTGGGACACCCTGTATATGTATTTATGGGTGTGTATACGTATGTAACGAAATCTTTGAGCATAATTTTCACCAATTTCCAGACGTTTGATTTACTTGACTTATCAAGGACCGATGACAATGTGATAATTTGATAACGGTTTTCCATTATACTTATTAGGACCGCCAGTATTGATAAATTCTTTTATAGATCCTCTGTAGAGGAGTAAAACAGACAGAGCTAGCATGCGATCTGCGCATTCGTGCAGTTTTCGGTTTGTTGGTTCGGAAACCCGGCACACCACAACGGAGGCAGATACTTTTTCAACATAGTACAATCTCACCTTGTTTATTCCTTATGCATGCGCAGGATGAATGAGTCTAATACACGCGAATTACGTGTGAATATGACTAAACGGATATCGATACAGCTATGGAACTGCTGAGAGACTAATGTTGTCATTAATCCATGGTAGGGCTTCAACTGTCCACAAGATGTTTACTGTTGGACAAGCTTATGTAGCACTGAGTCGTGTAAGATCTTTAGACGGTATTCGGATTGAAGAATTTGATTGCTCTAAGTTAACAGGAAAAACATGACGCAACAGTGAAGCTTTAAATGAAATGATTAGATTACGAAATGATTCGTAAGACATTTCAATATCATATGTTCACAAAACACTAATTGGTAAATCGCACTAAAAAATGAAAAATAAATAACAGTTTAAAAAAACTAAAAAACACGCTCCGAACTAAAAAGTAGAAAATAATTTTTGATGACCTCAAAATAAAATTATAATAAAACTTAAGTTATTAACAGAATAATTAAATTCAGAGTAAAAAGCGTGGGTTGCTTGATATACTAAGTGTTACAATCATTCTATTGGCAACTAGCTATGAGAGAAATTATTATCTACTTTTTAGTTTGTGCTGAGCATAATCCTTCATGAACTGATAACGGCATTGCGTGTGAAGTGCAGAGTCAACCTATTTGACGTCAGTTTTTTAATTTACCAAATTGTACGCTTCAATACGTAGATTTCCAATTTCCAAGATATAGTCCATACCCTATAACAGCGAGTTGTGGGCTTAGAACACGATGAGTAACAGTTGTTTGAAATTTCCTTCCTTATCATCATACCTACTGACCGGTGCAAAAACCTTGAAATTCAGCTATATGCTCAGGGAAGAATAAACTAGCGCGGATGTAATATTGCGCTGGGACACAAACATATACATTTTTTCAAAAAGATTCAAGGTTATCCAAGGTATTCGACTAGACAACAAAGTTGCTTTTTTGATACATACCTATAATTTTTTACATATTTGGATAGATTCGTATATTATT